CTCCCAAAAAGAAAAAATTGTTGCACAGGCCACACTCCTGTCCAGTTAAACCAGAATCTCTGCTTTAACCAAAATCACTTGTTTGTCACTATGGGTCACTCAGTGACTGGCAGTTTGCTGCCACCAGACTACCTGCCCCCCGCCCCCCCGCCCCGCCCCGCTTATCACGTGGTGGCGTTCAGCACATCTGGGGAATTTTTTTAAATAGGATTTGCTTCTAACTTATTCATTGTGTTGTCCAACCAGATGTTCTCTTTGTTACTAAGAAAGGACACTCGGTCGGGTGCAGTGGCTCACACCTGTAATCCCAGCACTTTGGGAGGCCAAAGTGGGCGGATTGCTTGAGTCCAGCAGTTTGAGACCAGCCTGGGCAATGTGGTGAAACCCCATCTCTACCAAAAAAAAACACACACACACACACGCACGCAGATTAGCCAGTCATGGTGGCTCATGCTTGGGGTGGTCAAGGCAGGAGGACTGCCTGAACTTGGGAGGTTGAGGTTGCTGTGATCTGTGATCGTACCACTGCACTCCAACCTAGGCGACAGAGCGAGACACTGTCTCAAAAAAAAAAAAAAGAAGGGATAGAAGGGATGCTTCCCACATCTAAGAAGGTTGATCAACATTTTGGTAATCGTATTCTGCCTGTTCGTATGCAACTTCAGTTTCCACATGCAAATTTAATTTTGAGGCTTTCTTCAGAATGACTTCTGCATGTCTGTGTCAACAGAGTTCAGTTCCTCAAAATGAGAAAAGTGTTCATGGACCTTTAAGGCTACAGTTCTTAGTCTTTGGTTGAAAATAATGGGTCACATTTCTGTTTTTTAACCTTTTTATAATGTAACCTTTTCTATCTTTTTCTAAAAGATCTTTTTCTATCTTTTTGTAAAAATCTTTTTCTATCTTTTTGTAAAAATAATGGAAATTTTATGGAAAAGTGTAGTTAAATAAATTATCCATAGTTTTACATAGCCGGGGTAGTACCTGATGTTTATTCTGATATGTTTGTTTCCAAATTTTTTTTTCTGTGTGTGGCATATGATTTTTAAATACAATATCACATCCTACCATGTGTTCGTTTATTTACTGATGGATTTTCAATGTCTTTTTAGTCCCTTTTTTGCCATCTTAACCACTTTTAGGTGTGCAGTTTAGTAGTATGTTTGCATTGCGTATACTTTTATCTTTCTAACAAACCTAGCATTATCTTATGAACATGTCATTTTATTAAGTGTTATTCAAAAATTCGGCTTCTCAGTGTCTGCAGCCTGTAGCCCTGTGATTGCAGCAGGCCTTTGCTTTGGGCTCTGAGGGTATCTCAGCCTTGCGGTGTGGTACCTACACAGTGAGCATCCTGGGGCTTAAAGCATCCCACCCGTGCCTGTTTGCAGGGCAGCCTCTGCAGCAGAGTTGCTGACTCGCAGGGTGTGGGGGTCCATTTGCTGCGAGCAAGTCGTCCTGATGCAGCCCCACCAGCGGGACTGAGCCGTCAGCCCCTCTCCCTGCGAAACGTTTCTCACCTCCCGCCTTCTGCTCTCCTGCCTTTGCTGGCCCTGTGCCTCCATCACTCTTGTCCTGACACCACTGCCTCCTTCCTTCTCCTGTCCTCCGAATTCCAGCATCACGTGGTGCCGTCTGTCTACCCGGCCTCTGCCTCACAGAGCTGCACTGACTTCAGCTGGACTCTGTCTTTTCACCAGCCTCTTACCTGAATGTAGAGACCCTGGGCTGGCTGTTTGGGGGAGTTTTCCCCCAAGACCTTTATTTCCTCCTTTGGTGTCAGGGACATCTTGTCCAAACTGCAGGGAGCACTCCCTCCACATGGGGCTGTGTGCGGGAGAGCAGGCAGGAGAGTGTCTGGGAAGCGCCATGAGCAGTGATGACTGGTGACGTCCAGGCCTTCTCCTCGAGGCTCAGGATGGGTGCGGGAGGCGCCATGAGCAGTGATGACTGGTGATGTCAGGGCGTTCTCCTCGAGACTCAGGATGGGTTCGGGAGGCGCCACGAGCAGTGATGACTGGTGACGTCCAGGCCTTCTCCTCGAGGCTCAGGACGGGTGCGGGAAGTGCGATGAGCAGTGATGACTGGTGACGTCAGGGCCCTCTCGAGGCTCAGGATGGGTGCGTGACTCGTGCTGTTTTCCACCTGTGGGTGCTCAGGCTCTGCTTGCGTTTCCTGCTTGTTTGCTGCCTTCCTGCACATGGCCCTGTGTTCCAGGGCTGGGCACTGGGGATGTGGCAAGGGAGTCCCATGGTCAGCTGGTGAGATGAGTCCCATGGCAGAGAGGGGCTCTGCAGGCACCCAGCAAGGCCACCCAGGACCAGCTGGCATGTGAGGGCTGGCCTGCCCGGGTCAGACCACCTTGGTTCTGGCTCATAGTGGGCTGCTGCCCAAATGAGTTAATGAAGGTTGCTGAACTGGTGGTCTCAGGTGTCTTGGAAAAAGGTAAAAAGGTGGGTGCTTTCCACAGTCGCATGTGGTAAAAAGCAGTCGCATGTGGGTCAGTCAACCCCAAGAGTGGTGGAAGCTGGTAAAGTCTTCCCCCAGGCCAGGTGAGGGCCGGTGTCCAGACCATGCATCTTCTGAGCAGCTGTCATTTGATGTTCCAAGGTATTTGGGATTCTTTGACCTGTATCTGCAAACACAGCTGTGGGCTCTTAGCTCTTTGAGTCCCCTTGGTTCAGTGGAGTGTGGGTGTCGTCCCTTAGGACACAATACTGAGGCCCGTGGGCTCCACCAGGCCAAGCAGGGGATGAGAATTCTGCTTTTTTGGTTCTACATGTCCCTCCCCCTTTTTGGAGGGTGGTGATGGTGATGGTAGAAAGGAAAAATCTCAATGTATGATTACTCGTGTATTGGACAAAGTATATTTAGACTCATCCTCTTACCTGAACATAGAGACCCTGGGCTACAGAGATCCTTCTGGGGAAGGGTCTTGTGCAAAGAAAATAAACAAGGCATCTTCCTCTCTTTTCTTAAGTCCGGTGTGGCGGTTGAGCAGTAGCAGAGACAGGGAAAGTGACCAGGGCCATCTGGGGTTATTCTTGGATTTTCTTGTTCTGTCATGACCAAGGGCAAAAGGAATTGTTTGAAAGGTAGACAGTGTGTCTGGGTTTACTCCTGAATGTAATCAGGGGATGTCTTTTTAACACAAGAACATTGCAAAGGATATTAGCCTTTCTTGTGATGTTAGCAAGCCTGGACCTCCCAGGGGGATGTGTTTGTGAAGGCAGTTTAATAGTATTGAAAGAGTTTGGGTCTTGGAGACTTTCTAGCTGTAGACTTTGAGCATGCTTGTTCATGCCTGTCTTTGAGCCTCAGTTTCTCGTCAGTATGCTAGGTAACTCTGAGGATTTGCCTTGAAGTGTCCTCTTGTAAGAGCATTGACAGATACCAGCATGTGGTGGGTGCTTGGGAAATGGTAGCTACTTGTTTGCTTAATTGTTTGGGGGAATGCACTAACGTGAGGCTTCAGAACAGTGCTGGCCAGCATGGTAACCACTGGTCACATGTGACTAGTTAAATTTAAATTAAATGAATGAAGTAAAAGTAAGTTTTCAGTTCCTCCATCATGCTTTCTACATTTTTATTTTTTTCTTTTGTTTTGTGGCAGGGTCTCTGTCATTCAGGCTGGAGGGCAGTGGTGTGAATTCTGCTCAATGCATCCTCCACCTCCTGGGCCCAAGCAAGTCTCCCATCTCAGCCTCCTGAGTAGCTGGGACTACGGGTGCACACCACTATGCCTGGATAATTTTTGTATTTTTTGTAGAGATAGGGGTTTTGTCATGTTGCCCAGGCTGGTCTCGAACTCCTGGGCTCAAGCAATCTGCTCACCTTGGTCTCCCAAAGTGCTGGGATTACAGATGTGAGCCACTGCACCCGGCCTGTGCTGTCACATTTTTGTTACTCATTGTTATGGAACATTTTCCATCATCACAGAAAGTTCTATTGGACAGGGCAGCTCTAGGGTGACAGTTGGATAATAGGCAAAGGAAATTATTAAATGGAACTCTGCCATTTGAGCCCCACTTCCATTTGGGCCAGCGTTTTCTGATAACTTAATTTGTCTTTCAAGCATGGAAATAATTTAGACTTGACGATGAGAAAACAGCTTTTGCTGTTGTTTGCTAGAAGATATTCTGATGTTCCTTTGTTTGTTTGTTTGTGTTCTGTGATTATAGCATTTAAGCCAAAACAATCTCTGTTCTCTTTTTGTCTCCAGTGATGGATGTAACAGATATAATAAATGGAAAAGTAGACGACGAAGATAAGCAGCATTTCATTCCCTTTCAGCCGTAAGTATGGAGCAATTCAAGTACTTAGCCAGATATAATGTGGAAAACATAGGCTTGTAATAGTTATCTTTATAATTAAATAGATAAACCTAAGTAAGAATTGATTATTTTATAATTATGAAAAACCTCTTTAGTCACTGCTGTAGTACATGGAATTTTTTTGTAGCCGTAAGAATCCTGGGTCAAAGTTTGTTTATGGTCCTGAAAGTAGAAGATTTTACCTGCCTGATCATGTAGAAGGCACAGAATTACAACTCTGCTCTGAGCCTGAACGTTTCTTTACATAATTGATTTATTCTAGTAGCTATTTGTAGTTTCAAAGCACAATACTTCCAAATTCATCATAGAAGGTTGCTGTGTTTAAAATAGAAAACCAAACAAAATTATGATGAATTATTTTAAAGCGGGAAATAATGCTTTAAAGCATAGAATCATGCTGCTGATTTTTGTTTCTTGGTTTTTGCTTAGAGTGGAGCATATCTGTGCTCGTTTTTCGGCTTTCTCTAGTTCTGACTTGAAGTCTTTAAAGAGGCACGGAAGCTGAGAAAAAGCTCTTGGAGGAGATTCATTAAATTGATTATCTGATTTGTGGGTAGGACCCAGGGAACTGGTGGAAAGAATTGGCATTTATTTCCCTCGTGTGGAAGCAAGAGTGTACCCAGATGATGGTCGTTGGCCACTTAAGGGCACTCCTACTCCTCACAGAGGAGGAGAGAAAAGGAATCCAAACGGTTGAGGTGAATTGTAAGAGACGGCTTCCTCCTGGGTGTGGGGTTGGGGGGCGATGTTAGGGGAGAATGTGTGGTACGGGCAGCCCCCTGCCATAGTGCTCTGCAGTTTTACTTTTCCCTCATTTCTCTTCTTAATCGATTTCAGACTTGAAACACATTTTTAGATTTTAGAAATGTTACTGTTTTCAGCTGTTGGCTGAAGGGTTTCGGAGGCGGGTAGTAATTGGGTGGCTGAAGGAGTCCTGTCCTTGGGGATCCGGAGATGTGAGGTTGGCTTCCCTCTGCCCCATGCATCCTTGGTGATGGACCACCACACTCAACCCCACCCGACTCCTCTGGGACTTGAGTGCCACTGGCTAGGACAGGAAGAGTATGACTTTCTTTGCAGGCAGGCGATCTGGTCAGGTGGTACCCTAAAGCTTTTTGTACAGCTCAGTAGATTTTGCTGTCTTCCTGTCATAAGAATAACAGCAAACCCTGCGTTATTGAACTGGGAGTCAGGGTTAAGTTATATGTATCTCACCATGCACCACTAGAGGCAGAGGTCTCTTTGTGGCTTAAATGCTTTAGGTTTACTCTCCTGTCCAATGTGGTAACCATTAGCTCCATGTGGCTATTTAAAATACTTAAAATGAGCTGGGCACAGTGGCTCACGCCTGTAATCCCAGCACTTTGGGAGGTTGAGGCAGGAGGATCACTTGAGGGTCAGGAGTTTGAGACCAGCCTGGCCAACATGGCGAAACCCCATAACTACTAAAAATACAAAAATTAGCCAGGCGTGGTGGCAGGCGTCTGTAATCCCAGCTACTTGGGAGACTGAGGCAGGAGAATCGCTTGAACCCGGGAGACAGAGGTTGCAATGAGCCGAGATCACGCCACTGCACTCCAGCCTGGGTGACAGAGGGAGATTCCGTCTCAAAAATAATAATAATAATTAGAATGAAGTAGCATTAAACATTGAGTTCTTCGGTCACATTGGTCCTGTTTCAAGTGTTCAGCAGGAGAGGAGGCCAGCGGCACCATCCTGGGCCGTACGTACACAGCACGTCTCCACCACTGCAGAAAGCTTTGCTGGATAATGTTGTTTTGTAGTCCCACCCAGTGAGGAGAGTTTATAAAAGGAACGCAGTGCTGCAGAATCTGGAAGTTTCCTTAGCAAACAAGGGGAACAGTATTGTGGAACATGGGCTGATATTGAGGTCATAAATAAAATACACCTTTGTAAAATTATAATATTAAATTGCCTCATTCTCTCATGAGAAATAATGCAGCCCCCTACTGTTTTGAATGCTGTATTATATATTAGACCTCAGAGGTTTTTGATGCCCAGATGTACCACTAAGTTGAAATTACCTGTTGCCTGCTAGTGTCCTCTGTGAAAAGTCAAGAAAAAAAAAAAAAAAGGAAAGAAAAATCCCAAAACAAACAAACCCAACTTGAGGGATTGTTTGAAAAGTTAGGGAGGTTATTAGTTTTAGATTCACTGATTTTCACAGAACATGTTATGAGTTGTTTGAGACTGCCTGTGCTTTGCTGCCATCTTTTTCTATCTTGTAGTGGAATGTCCACTTGGAAAATATATTATTCCATGTGCACCTCTTATGTAATTTGTGACTCCGTGCTCCATTAAAGGAAGACTAATAGATGAATATTTGCAGTGTTAGAAACAAAAGAACAGCATGATTTTTAATAGCAAAATAAGCAATGAAACCAGTTCTTTGGGAAATGTCATGCTAGTGAAACCGTTTTTTGCTCCATTAAAACTGATTTATTATCTCACAGGGTTGGTTTTAGGGAAGGAAGCACATTGCACATCTCCCTTCCTCCCTGTCTTTTTTAACTTGGTGAAGTAAATGACAACAGTCTTCAGTTCCCTTGAGTCTTGTGGCTCCAGTGATGGATAGCACTGTCCTTGTTCCCAGGATTGATTTTAAACATTATGGCCATGCTGTCTATTTTCTTGCTCATTTCATAGCGCACTTCGCTGTGCTACATGGTATTTCTATTTGGGCATATGCTACCTGTTTTTAGCTAGTCTCGTACAGCACAGCATCTGTAACAGGCTCCTGATTCACGGGCCCTGAAAATATGGGTGGTCTGCGTTCATAATGGCACCACACATGGGAATAGGTCGTGGTGTTCTCCAAACACAGTGCCATTCTTCTCACATGTAGTCATTTTAGGGTCTATTGTGTACATAGTCCAAGAGAGTAGAGTAGAAAGCCTTTGCAAGCAGTTAGGTTCCAGGGATTTTTTTTTTTTAATCTCGATTTTGCGTTTCCCTTTAGATCATCTGCCCCTTGACCTATGCTATGTTCAGAATTATTGAAATTGGAGGAATGGCCATAAACATTCTTTGGGATTAAATGCCTTTCACCCATGTGGCTTTCAGACAAGCTCCTTTTTTTAAACACAAGCGTCTGATGGAGACGCAGTGGAGGCCTGGTGCACGTTTATTTCCTGGGGAGAGGGTTGCCCTCATTTGCTCTATTCCCTCTCATGGTTCAGCATTTTCCTGATCAATGCTTTTCCCTGTTTCTCTTGTCACCTCTCCCATCCTTTGTCGTGCGTTGACTCATGATGCCTCCCTCTCACACTCGGTGACGATGATCTCTTATGTTCCCTTGTTACCGTGACCCATGGGTCTCTGTGCCCCTTTGTCTCCTGTGGTCTTGGTCGTCCCGTGCCCTCCAGGCTCGCGTTGGACGACGCCATTCGACACAAGCCGCTGAACATGTCATCCCGTTTTTCACCCAGGGTGGCAGGGGAGAATGACTTCCTTCAGACTGTTATAAACAAAGTCATCGCTGCCAAAGAAGTCAACCACAAGGGGCAGGGTACGTATTTTCCTATTTTGTTTCCATCAGTGTGTATTTGCATGCGTTTGGGACAGTGCTGTCTGGGTTACGTTTTAGTTTGATGTTGATCCTGATGGTGTGAAGATGGTGGCGGTGACAGTGGTCCTGGTGGAGAATGTGTGTGACGGTCGCCACCATGTACAGTGCATGACGGTTTTCTGTCCCATCACCTTTGTGAACATTGCTGAGAGCCCACTCCTGGATGGAGAGTGGGGTCGGATTAGATGTTTAGAGGAACGTGCAGGCGGTAGGTGTAACTCCCCTCTGCCCATGTTGTGTGCTAATCATTGCCTGTTCTGGGGCTCCCCTGCTGGTCTCCCTAAGAAGGTGACTTCATTTGTGCAGACTTGCTCCCCTGAGTTCTGTCATTTAAGTGATTTCTCCTCCCCTACCCCCCCACCTCACACTCACCGTTTTTAATCCTGCACTGACACGTTCCCGAGCAGCTGACCTGCTGCTGGCAGAAGGAATGAATCAATCACCTCGGGCTGGTGACAGTTGGCACTTGACTGGCCAGGAGGGCTGCCAGGAAACAACTGTGACTGAGGCCCCGCCTCCAGCCCAAGGGGAAGTCACCTTCAGAACTTGACCGTCTCACTCCCTGATCCGTGCAGACTGCCCGTAAACGCAGTAGAGCTTAGGCGAACAGACCTGCTTCATCGTCCAGCTACCTTATGTCACTAGACTTTTAAAAAACAATTACCTTGATTCATTTCCCACTGTTCTAAAGGAGAATGTGAATGGAGCCTGAAGAATGTTATAGAGAATGAGCCTTCCTAGGGCTCTGCAGGGACCTCCAGCTTTCCTCTGGTGTGAACTACCCCCGTCTCTGGCAAACAGTAGCAGGACAAAAACCCCAACCCAGAACATTAATGAGATGCGGCCTTTGCAGACAGAGCAATTTTCAGCTGACCCAGGACCCATCTTCTCCTGAATTAACAGCCCTCCCTATTTGCACTTTAATTGAAAACCATAGGGAGGTCCAATTAGGGCTGTTTAGATTGGAGTCACTCTCCGGCTGGGGACACCATGCAAAGGTTGCCAGCCGATCCTTCAGTGCTTCGAGCTGGGGCCGCCCTGGGATCTCCAGTTTCTTTTGCAGTCATCAGAGTTTTGATAAACTTTTATTAGAGTCATTCAGGGAGAGTGGAGTTTGGTGTCAGGCCAGCAGGAAATCGCTGGGAAAGAGGACCCGAAGCCTGCCTCTGCCAGGCTCACTGGTGTGTGGCCAAGATCTTTGAAGCCAGAGAACCTTGGGCTGATGCCCGGGGGTCCAGTTCCTTCAGCTTCTGGGAGGAGTGGGCATTTCCAAGTCACAGTGAGAACCGAGGGACAAGAACAGTGATAGGGGATCACAGGTGACTTCCTGAATCAGAATGGCCTTAGGCAACATGACTAGTGCTTGTTTACCTTGAACCTGAATTTTCTCCAGGGCCCACTGGTGGGTGGAATTCAGGTCAGAGGTGAGCAATGTGGCCAGCGAGTGCAGCCGCACAGATGGGCTGCCGGGACTGCAGGGTGCTGCCCACCAGAGCTCATTTTATCACCAGCAGCCCAGGCTTAACCTGATCCTTGCTTGTCTGTCAAGTGACTGTTAGCGGTCCCAGGAGTGGAAGGGACATGGAGGAGATACTCATCTTCAGAGAGAGCCGCTGGATTTTTTACCCCTGTGTCCACATGCGCCTCCTGTCTCTTGAGCTTACTACTTGGCCTTGGCCGATTTTTGGTTTATGCCAACATGTTTCCTCTTTACAATAGACAAAATCCTGAATATTTAATCCAAATTATTCTGAACCTAGAGGTGTAGGACATTTTATGTGGACAGCGAGTTCATGAAGACTCCAGACATCTGGTTCTATTGTTTGAGATAGAATGGATGCTAATCCTCTTTGTTTTTAGTTATTCTGGGTAAGCAAATGTCAACGCCAAATGCACTTTTTTTCTCCTGTGAGAAAGCATTCAAAACACAGGGTAATCAGGAACATTTAATTTCCATTTTTAAAGTGTGTGGTAATAAATTTAATTGTGTCACTAATGCATTAGTTTATGTATTAAGATATTTGAGCAGGCTGGCGTTTCTGAGAAAGGGTTTGAAATGCAGGATTTCTAATATTAAATGTTAGGTGTTCCATCCTCGTGTCTTAACCTTTGACCTCTGTGAATGACCTCACCACATCCTGCAGTCCTTCAAAGAGCATCTTTCTGTTAGATTTATTTTGTGGACATTCATTCTCCAGGGAGGCTTTTGGACTCAGGCTCCTGAGATTTGAGAAACTCTTAGCTGCATCCTGGTGTCCAGCGAAGACCAGCTCCCCATCAGCCACGGTGCCGATTCCTCAGGCTCTTCTGTCAGGGTCTGGGCTTTGGTTTGCTGTCCTGGAGGCCAGGGCCAGGGCTTAGGGTGACGAAGTGCCTGGCCCTTTGCAGATCTGTCTGCTTACCTATTCTGCAGGTCTGGAGCTGCTGTTAGCTCAGGGTGCTTTTGTGTGAATTAGAAAAAGGGGCCTTATCGGCTGGGCGCGGTGGCTCACGCCCGTAATCCCAGCACTTTGGGAGGCCAAGGCGGGCGGATCACGAGGTCAGGAGATCGAGACCATCCTGGCTAACACGGTGAAACCCCGTCTCTACTAAAAATACAAAAAAATTAGCCAGGCGTGGTGGCAGGCACCTGTAGTCCCAGCTACTCAGGCGGCTGAGGCAGGAGAATGGCGCGAACCCGGGAGGCGGAGCTTGTAGTGAGCCGACATGGCGCCACTGCACTCTAGCCTGGGCAACAGAGCGAGACTCTGTCTCAAAAAAAAAAGAAAAAAAAAGAAAAAGGGGCCTCATCAACTGGGTGAGTAGGGAGATAGTGCCAGGGCCTGTGGCTTGGTGAGCGAGTAGAGGCACGATTTAGCTCCCACTTGCCTTTTGTGGTCAGTTGTCTAGTGAAATGCACATTCTGGGCAGTGGTACATGTGCTCCTGTCTGGGTGCCATCCCTGATACCTCTTTGGGGACCGCTTTCTATTGGTGGTTCTTCCTTCCTTCAAACTGTCCCTCCCACGATCTGGAATTTCATGTCTTAAAAAGAAAGGAAAAAGAAAAAAGTATATTAAACAAAAAGGAAAGAAAAGAAACAGCAAGAAACAGTCCTGCCCTGAGTAATGCATCTGTCTCTGTGTATGTGGACTTTCTGGACTTCCTTTCTCATTCATCTTTGCCTTTCTGTGTCCCAGCATCGGCCCTCTCCCTGAGCGCGCCCGCCCTCGTCTCCCGCCAGGAGCCCTGTGGCTGCATGGGCATCCTCCCGTCCCAGTTTCCTGTTTGCCCTGTTACCTCTGACATCTCTGTCCCCTTGTGAGCTCTCAGAGTGGACCCTTCTGCCTCTCTTCGGGACTCTTCTTTCCTTCCCCACTATGGGTGCTTGCCTTTCAGGCAACTCTGCCTGGAGCCGGTCTTCCTGTGCCAAGGAATGGTACCCCTGGGGCTTGCTAGTGGTTGTGCCTGCAAGGGGCACCGTCTCTGTAAGCTGTGCCTCCTCCTACCCCAACTCCCTGTGGTTCTGCTGGTTTGACTTCCACGCTGGTCCCCTTTCCCACCCTCCATAGTGGCGTTCACATCCTGGCAGCCAGCTGGGTTCATGCGGTGGCCGCCCTGCTGCCATTCCATCCTCACGGTGCTCTGTACTCCTGCCTACCCATTCCCTGTTAGCCACAGGGTGTCAGGTCAGAGCCTGACTCTTGTTCCTGAGCCCCCCTCTGGATGCCCCCCATCCTTCGGATAGACGACAGTCCCTGCCACCCCAGGCCCCCCACTGTCTTCCCATAGCATCTGGGGGCTCCACCTCCCTGGGGTGGGGACAGGTCTGCAGTTCTCTTGCTTCCTGCAGGTCTCAGCCCCAACGTCCCTTGCTCTGTGACCCTTGAGACTGTGGTCCCAGGATGCCTTGCAGTGTGCTCAGGACTTCTCCCATGAGAACTTTGCGGTTGCATATTTCTCTAAGTGACCGTGGAGTTAGCGTCTGACCGTTGGCAATGGAAGCTAAACCCCTGGCACGGGAGGTCGTGAGGGTCTGCCCTATGTCTGCAGTAGGTGCAGTGCCCTGTATTTGCGTAGCACATAGTAGGTGCTCAGTAGCTACTTTTGAATAAATTAGAGGGACTCACTAGATAGCAAGAGGAAAGAGGGTTTCACCAGCTGGCAAAGAGCAAAACATCATCAGTGACTTTTGACTTCTCAGCTCCAAGTAATGTAAATCTGTACAGAGGAGAACACCATTTCCAGGATAGTGGATATAGGAGTGGGCAGCCAGAGGACAGGGCGTGAGGTGCGGGACTGAATCAAGAAGAGCTGCTCCCGTCAGGAGCGTCGGGAGCAGCCTGAGGTGCCAGCACTGCTGACGGGCTGTCCGTTATCTCCCAGTGCTGCCCAGTAGGCAGGCTGCTGGCGGACAGGCCTGCGACTGTCTCAGTTCCTTCCACCCAGGGCAGGGCGCTGAGCTGAGGGTGATGGAGGGTGGGTCCTGCTCTCGAGGCATCTGGAGAGGGGACAGCTGCACACACACACAGAGACAGATACAGACACATGCACACACACAGATACAACACACACGCGCATGTGCACACACACACATACACACACAGATACATCACAAACATAGATACACATACACAGATACACCACACACACACACGCAGATACATCGCAAACATACACATACACCGATACACCACATAGACACACACACACACTCAGATACATCACAAACACAGATACACATACACAGATACACCACACACACACACACACACACACGCACAGATACATCACAAACAGATACACATACAGATACACCACATACACACACACACAGATACCTGACAAACACAGATACATCACAAACACAGATACACATACACAGATACACCACATACACACACACGCACAGATACATCACAAACAGATACACATACAGATACACCACATACACACACACACAGATACATGACAAACACAGGTACACATACACAGATGCACCACATACACACACACACAGATACATCACAAACACAGATACATATACACAGATACACCACACACAAACACAGATACACATACACAAATACACCATACATGCACACAGATATAGACACCACAAACACACACATGCACATACACAAACATACACAGATACAGACAACTCAAACACATACACACACACAGTTACAGACACCATAAACACAGACACACACACACCAGATACAGACACCACAAACACACACACAGATACACCACAAATACAGATACACATACACAGATACACCACACACACACACACACACACACACAGATATAGACACCACACACACATGCACATACACAAACATACACAGATACAGACACCACAAACACATACACACACACAGTTACAGACACCATAAACACAGATACACACACACACCAGATACAGACACCACAAACACACATACAGATACACCAGAAACACAGACACACAGATATACTTATAGACACACACACACCCACGGATATAGACACAGACACGCACACAGACATACATGCCCTCACACACAGATACAGATACACACATAGACACAGCTACAGACACAGACAGATACATACGGACACAGATACAGAAACACAGGCAGACACAGATTTAGCCACACACATAACACTTACACATAGGCATAGATACACAGAGCCACACACACAAACACACACAGACACACATGGACACACAGACACACACACAGATACACACAGACACACAGAGACTCACACACACACGCGCGCGCACAGTCCCAGGCATGCATGCCCGTGCTAGTAGCAGAAGTGAGGACAGAGGCTTTGATGTTCTGAGGGGCAGATGAGGCCCTCCCGAGCTGAGTGGGGGGAAGCAAGCAGGCGGCCCCGCCGAGGCCTCAGGGATAGAGTGCCCCCGTGTGCCAGCCCCTTCCCGTGGGGGGAGAAATGCTGTCACAGAAGATAGCTCAGGCCGACCCCTGCCTGCCCCTGCCTTTGACTTGTTGGAATTGTCTGGCTTGTTTCCTCGTACTGTTGCCTCCTGTTTGATTGCTACTCAGTATTTATATAAACCACAGTTCATCAGCCTTGCAGGGAGGAAGAGCCCGCACGCACGCCCTTACACATAGACCCCACCAGGTTCACTGCGCTCTCCCCAGGACACCCCTGGCATCTAGGTTTAGAGGCTTTGAAAGTCTTCATTTTTCTCCTGGAGAAAAGAGCCGAGAGCCGCTGGAGCTTTGTTCTCTTTTGCTGTGTCGCTGTGGTACAGAGGGCCTGGCTCCACGGGCTGCATCGGTCCTGGCTGGGGAGGGCTGTCCTGCTGTTGGCCCTGCAGCCTAGTGCTCCTCTGCTCGCCCAGGTTGTGTGATGCTGCTTAGCTACTTGCAACTTTGATGGGTTCTCAAAACTGTGAATTCACCTCCAGAATCCTCCCCTGCCTTTGTCTTTCCTGGGAGATTAGAAAATGACAGACTTCTCAGCCCCCTCCCGGGAAAAGGCGGCCTGCTGATTTATCAGAAATGTCTACCCGCTCAAAAGAGGCATTGGTCCTTGGCAGTGCCCAGCAGCACAGCGGGTGCACAGCAGCTGCTGATGTGCGTTCAACTGCCTGTGAGTCACCCTAGGGCAGGGCTGGCATCCCAGCTTGTCGGATGCATGGAGTCCCCACGAAGGGCACCTTTTTTGCCTTGCCCCTCTCTTTCTCATATACCCATGTTTTTTCTCGAGATGTTGAATTGTGAATGAAAAGTCTCTTGTTCATTGAAATTGGTTTCGTGAAAACTTCTGAAAATGCATAGGATAAAATGTGACTTAACAGCATCCGTTGTTTTTCCAGGTTTGTGGGTAACATTGAAATTACTTCCCGGAGATATCCATCAGATCCGAAAAGAGTTTCCGCATTTAGTGGACAGGACCACAGCTGTGGCTCGAAAAACAGGGTTTCCGGAGATAATCATGCCTGGTAAGAACTGGCTCATCCAGGGCTTCTGAGCATGGCGTGGGGGTAGCCGGCCACGGAGAATGACGTGTGGGCCGCATCATGTATGAGCTCTGGCAAGGAAAGGGCTCAGCTCCTGGCAGGTGACCCTCTAAGCCCCAGCATGGTTATAGATCATGGGGCTGTGACCGGAGTGGTAGAATATGCTCCCTGGCCCCCTGTACCCCTGGACGGATCAGCTCTCCCCAACTGCAAGTGTTGTGTGACAGGGACGTGGGCACCCAGTGAATGTCTGGATAGACATCAGGTTGAAAGAAGGAAAGAGGTCAGAAAGGGAACTGCCCGATGTGAAGCCCACCTAAGCACAAATGTCAGGGTTGGATGGTTGCTGAATGGCAATGTCTGTACCTTTACCTGCTCGCCTGGTGTACGTTATACTGGCATTGCTCCGTGAATTCTAAGTCATGAATTCTAAACTGACCAAACCAATAACAGGATTTCCGTGTTAACTCATATTTACATAATACATTTCAGTTTCCAAATAGTGTTAATAATAATCTGATTTGATCATCAAGAGATCTTTGCAAGCATGTTGATTTGTATCCTTTATATCCGTGTGATACTTTCTGGTTTGCAAGTAATGCTTATGTGGCTTGGCCGGGCGTAGTGGCTCATGCCTGTAATCCTAGCACTTTGGGAGGCTGAGACGAGGGGATCGCTTGAGCTCAGGAGTTCAAGACCAGACTGGGGAACATGGTGAAACCCTGTCTCGACAAAAAAATAAAAATATTAGCTGGGCATGGTGGTGTGTGCCTGTCATTCCAGCTACTTAGGGGGCTGAGGTGGGAGAATCACTTGAACCTGGGTGGTAGAGGTTGCCATGAGCACAGATCATGCCACTGCACTCCAGCCTGGGTGACAGAGTGAGACCTTGTCTCAAAACAAAACTTAACTTGAACCACGTGAGGCTCTTGGAGGCCCACAAATTGGTGTTGAGTTAATTCCTATCCAGATTAAACTGTAGCCCAAAGTCGCTCAGCTGATGAGCCGTGGAAACGAGGACAAACTACCCCACATTCAACGTGACCTCCTTATATAGGCCTCTGCTATATAGCTAGGAGAGTGGTGGCTATTCAGGGTGCGTGCTGTAGGAGTTACTGCTTTGCTTACTTTAGCACAACTTCAAGACTCGTTCTTTCTACTCCTTTTGTCTTTCAGGGCTGTTGTGGGTCATTGAATAGTGGGTCTGGTAAATCCATATGAAAGACATCTAAATTGGTTAGGCTAGATACTAGCTAGGCTTACCTGTACAGGAAGAAAAGCATGACGTTTAGTCAATTCTGAAGCTATTGCTTGTGTGTGTCAAGTCTATATGCAGCAAATTAATTTAGGTTTATTAATGGGAGTGGACTCATTTGTATACCTATTATTTGTATTTGCATTTGAGATGCAGATTTATAAATTAGCATGAAGCGGTTGGCAATATGCATTTATCTTGGCGTCCTTAGGATGCCCTGATGTTCAAAGGGAAACTCAGAAGCTTCCAGTTCATGCCAATAGTGTTTCCCTTATGATGGATAGACTTAAAAACTAAGTCTAGGCCCGGAGTAGTACCAGGTGAGCCCCTGTAGTACCAGGTACTAGTGAGACTGTGGTGGGAGGATCCCTGGAGCACAGGAGGTCAAAGCCACAGTAAGCCATGATCACAACCACTGCACTCCAGCTTGAGTGACAGAGAGAGACCCTGTCTCAAAAAAAAAAAGTAAGTCTGAACTTGTAGATCATCTCATGATAGATTCATAGGGAAGTGATTCAGTTGACCATTGTTCTGACAGTTTCCATGTGCTAAGTCCGTGGGTATGTATCCCATAGAAAGGGATTCTAGCTAAGGTGGGTCACCTGTGTTCTCTGATGGCTGAGTAATCACTGACCAGGCTGTGGGCACCAGAGAGAAAGAGTGTGGGCGGTTATCAGTCTGTCTGCCTGCCTTTAGCCTGCAGAACCTGTGTATCGCCCGGTTTTGTCACTGTTTGCAGGGATGTGCATCTTCTTTGGACAGCGGAGAGCCTGTCCTGTCACCCAGCGGCCTGCTCTGCTACTTTCTCATGGCTCACTGGACTCCTGGAGTCCTTCTGAGGGATCCAGGCAGGCAATACTAAGTTTTCCTTTGAGCTGGGAAGGTAGCAGGAGTCCACTATGTCTGCTTCTAGTTCCTTCTTCCCCAGAATATTCTGTAACCTGGGGAGGCATTTGATGAGGGTCTATGGTAATTGCCCATCTGTGGGGTTTGCCTACTGTAAATGAGGTCTGACTTCTGAGCTGGCCCTGGAGTAACGCACTCGAGGTGTACTTGGGAGCGAGGCTGTGGGAGTTTCACCCTGTCACCCAGGCTGGAGTGCAGTAGCATGATCTCAGCTCACTGCAACTTCTGCCTCCTGGTTTCAAGCAGTTCTCCTGCCTCAGCCTCCAGAGTAGCTGGGATTACAGGCACACACTACCATGCCTGGCTAATTTTTTTATTTTAGTAGAGACGGGGCTTCCCTGTGTTGCCCAGGCCAGTCTCGAATTCCTGAGCTCAGGCAGTCCACCTGCCTCAGCCTCCCAAAGTGCTGGGATTACAGGGATGAGCCACCGCACCCGGCCTTGAAGTTCCCTTTTGATGATGGTGTTTGCGCCTTGACAGAATTTTTAGGCTGAGAGACCATGTAGTTTATGCCTTCCCTATCAGTGAGGCTGTTTAGTGGTGCTGGTCTTGGAGGCTAACTTGTCCAAGGTCACACAGCTAATGAGCAGCAAGTCTCGGCTGGTGGCCTTGCGCCTGCCCGTCGCGCTGTGCTCCATGCTTCTTAACTTCTCTTGCGGTCAGAATCAGCGAGCGGCAGCCGCGCCTCCTTCCGTACAACTACTGTGGCTGTGGTAGCAGCCCACTGGGATTATTATGATAATGACTTTTAAATGAAAGCTTAATTTAATAGTTGGATACATTAAAAGCCAAAATAGAGCAGTTTTAAAGGAAAAAAAAAAAAAACAACAACAAGAGCAAAAACAAGAAAGCAAGGGATCCTTGGTCTTCAGCCAGAGCGGGCATTTGCTGCGCTTGACGGAACCGCTCTTTGGCTCCGTGGGAGAGCAGGCGGTCAGGGCGTGGGAGGTGGCCAGGCAGGCAGCAGAGGAGCAGTGGCTGGGAACGAGGCTTCCTCTAAATCATGTTGCTAATGAAGCCTGTGAAGTTCTCCCAGTCGGGCCATTACCAGGGGCTTCCCATGTTCTCAGTAGGAAGAAGAGTCTTGAGCTCATTTCTTGTGTTTCCCCCCACTCGCCCCATAATTAAAAGCCCATCTCACTTTAAAATAGACAGGTCTGTTTTGTTCTTCTCTCTGTGGTCCCCATTCGGGATCCTGACAACCGCCTGCCAGAAGGGAAGAGCCATGCAGAGAGTTTCTCCCTAGACCCATGTTTCTTCCCTGATCCTAGGCTGGCGATCCTCATTCTTTTTTTCCTTCTTTCTTTCTTTTTTCTTTTTTTTTTTGAGACAGAGTTTTGCCCTGTTGCCGAGGCTGTAGTGCAATGATCTCGGTTCACTGCAACTTCTGCCTCCCAGGTTCAGGTGATGTTTCTGCCTCAGCCTCCTGAGCAGCTGGGATGACAGGCCTGCACCACCACGCCCAGTAGCTAATTTTTGTATTTGTAGTAGAGATGAGGGTTCACCATGTTGGCCAGGCTGGTCTTGAACTCCTGACCTCAAGTGATCCACCCACCGTGGCCTTCCAAAGGGTTGGGATTACAGGTGTGAGCCCCCACGCCTGGCCGGTCCTCATCTGATTAACTCCTGGAGTTGTGCTCTTAAGAAGAATGCATAGGAGGCAACCTCGCCAGTTATCTGGGAGTGCCAGTGGATACTGCGATATTCCTTGGCTACTGAGGACTCAGACAGCCGTAGCCAGCTGTCTAACAAGGGACAGTGGTGTGGGCTGCCATGGGTGGTGGATGCCATCAACAGTATTGGAGCCCCTCTGGTTGCTGGCTGCCCCCAGAGGGGTAGAGTGTCCTCTGCCCAGATGAGAACCAAGCAAATCATTAGAAGCTTTGAGACTTTTCCTCTTTATAGCAAGTTTTATGATGATGAAAATTGCTCTTGTCATGTATTTAAATGGTAAGACTGTTATGTAGAAAACATTTCATAATCATCTGATAAGTATTTGTAATAGTTTATGAGGATAGGTAGACAGTCTTGCAAAATTCACAATTATGCTGTGAATAATGAATTGGTTTTTAAATGTATGATTTCTCCCCCCTCAGGTGATGTTCGAAATGATATCTATGTAACATTAGTTCAAGGAGATTTTGATAAAGGAAGCAAAACAACAGCAAAGAACGTGGAGGTCACGGTGTCTGTGTATGATGAAGATGGGAAACGATTAGAGGTATTTATTGTGGTGAGGGCTCATCTGTACTGTTTCAGTTTTACTTGCCAAGTGCTCACCTTGGCTCTGCTACAGCATAGAAGTTGTCACAGGTGGGGCTTTGGAATTCCATTTCTTGGGATTAGCGTTGGTTCTTGCTTCCCTTTCTCCAGCTTGTCATGCAGGACCTGGGGTCCTCTGATCCTGGCAGCTGGCCTATCTCAGGGGGTCCCTGTGGTCTTTTTTTTTTGAGACCGAGTCTTGCTCTGTTGCCCAGGCTGTAGCACTATAGGTGTGTGCCAACATGCTGGGCTAATTTTTATATTTTTTAGTAGAGATGGGGTTTCACCATGTCGACCTCAAGTAATCTGCCTGCCTCGGCCTCCCAAGGTGCTGGGATTACAGGCGTAAGCCACTGCGCCCGGCTGGGTCCCTGTGGTCTTGACCACTTTCGCCCAGCCTTATCATGGAGTCTCATTTGCTGTCATAAACCCAAGCAAGGCCCAAAGGTCTAGCAGTCACGCTAGAAGTACAGATACCATCATTACCATTTGAGAGATGGAGAAATGAAGGCCCTAAGAAATCAGTTAAATTGCTCAGGGTCAGAGAGCTAGCGAGAGGTAGAACTGAGCACCTGCCCATGACAGCTGGAGGTCTGACCTCGTGCTCTACCTACCAGTGGTCACGAACATCTGCTTCCATGGCCACAGCAGCCTGCAGGGTCTACCTGGGAGATACTCAGAAGCTGTTGCCTCCTCTGATGACCAGAGGTCAAACCAGAGCTGCTGTCCCTGTAAGGTGCCTGTTTGCACCAGGGCTGGAGGACTGGGTTTTTCTGGGCCCATGGGGTTGTGCTTAAGGCTCAGTGTCCCCGAGAGAAGCATGATGTCTTTCTCTCTGGGTAAACCCTGTCCAGCATCACTGCCTGCCTTGTCTCCCTGGAAACATAGGTACTGTCCTTGCTACTGGTCTTTCCGGTTGGAGTGAAGCAAACAGCGTTCATGGCTGGAGGAAGGAGACGGGAGGGTTCCCACCTTTTAGTCTGCAGTCCCTCACCCTAGACCTATGGCATGGATCAGGCAACTTCCTGCAGATCCTAATGTTGAAGTTATTAGGATTGAGGGTCTGGGGGGATGGAGGTCTGTGTCATCCCCGTATGTCATAACCATCAAGATCTTTAATGTGTGAGAACAAGGGTTGGAGCTGGCCGCTGGCTTCGGGTGGATCTGTGCTTCCCTTGCTGGGAACACTTTCGTTTGTGGTGGGGTGTGTTGGTGTTCTTGGAGCGTACCTGTCCTTCCGCGTATATGTATATGGTGTCCAGCTCTATGAGGTCTTACGTGAGCTCTTTATGTTTTCTTTTAAAGCATGTGATTTTCCCGGGAGCTGGTGATGAAGCGATTTCAGAGTACAAATCTGTGATTTACTACCAAGTAAAGCAGCCACGCTGGTTTGAGACTGTTAAGGTATTACTTACATGGTCATTTTATCACATGGCACTGATGATGAAATGCTCATTTGTAACCCAAGGAAACATCCTAACATCCTCCTCAGCCCGGGAGCTGATCTAGGCAGGCAGAGTGTCTCCCAACAAAGTCATTCAAGGTTGCTAAGGAACCGCACTGGCGTTTCTTAGAATACATTTACTCTCGTCTCCTTTTGGATGTAAAAATAGGACTTTCATGGAGACGAACGACAGAGTCTTTTTAAGATAGCTATTGTCTTTCTCTTCGCGGTACTGTTTTATGTGTGGCATGCTGTCTTTACACCAAACAAAAAAACTGAGCTGCCAGCCTGTGGAGGTCATTGCTGGGGAGTCGGGTCCTGTTCCGTAGCACTGACGTGGTACATTTTCATAATGCAGCGTGCTCACATCTCCGCCAGGGAGTAAACACTGTCCCGCCCCCAAGAGCTTGAATATTTGAAAACCAGGCCAGGGACTGGCTCTGGAATACAGATGTTTGATGTGAGAATTAGGAACAATGTTTGCTTAGAGGCAGCATGTCTTATGTCTTTTTTCTTTGAGTGTAATGTGTCAACAGGAAAGCTTTCTTGGTGCAGCTGTGGGCAGGTCACCACAGCTGTGGAAGGAGTGTAGACTCTTCCAGGTTGGGGCTAAGAAGAAAAACGGCAACTTTTTTTTTTTTTTTTTTTTTGGAGATAGAGTCTTGCTCTGTCACCCAGGCTGGAGTGCAGTGGCGCAATCTCGGCTCACTGCAACCTCCACCTCCTGGGTTCAAGCGATTCTCCTGCCTCAGCCTCCTGAGTATCTGGGATTACAGCCATGTACCATGGCACCTGGCTCATGTTTTTGGTATTTTTAGTAGGGATGGGGTTTCACCATGTTGGCCAGACTGGTCTCGAACTCCTGAACTCAAGTGATCTACCCTCCTCAGCCTCCCAAAGTGCTGGAATTACAGGCGTGAGTCACCATGCCTGGTCAAAAAACGGCAACTTTTAGAAATAGAATCTTGGCCGGATGCAGTGGCTCACGCCTGTAATCCCGGCACTTTGGGAGGCCGAGGTGGGCAGATCACCTGAGGTCAGGAGTTCGAGGCCAGACTGACCAACATGGAAAAACCCCTTGTCTACTAAATATGCAAAATTAGCTGGGTGTGGTGGCGCATGCCTATAATCCCAGCTACTCGAGAGGCTGAGGCAGGAGAATTGCTTGAACCCAGGAGGTAGAGGTTGTGGTGAGCTGAGATCATGCCATTGCACTCCAGCCTGGACAACAAGAGTGAAACTCTGTATCAAAAAAAAAAAAAAAGGAAACAAAAAAGAATCTTAACAGTAATGATTAGAGCATTCAGAAAAAAAAATCCAACTGTATCACAGAGTCGGCTTGGCAACTGTTACAACGTGATCTCGTTTAAATTTTGCAAAGGCATTTTGTCTTTGGAAAAATCATGTGGGGACTAGATGTACAGTATTTTCACCACCACAGTGTAGCAATGTTTACAGTTGTACCTGATAGCTCCATTTGAATAAAGCTGTTACGCTGGACGATATAGATCACAGTGCTTAAACTTCTTTCTTAATTCTTGAAGGTGGCCATTCCCATAGAGGACGTTAACCGCAGTCACCTTCGGTTTACCTTCCGCCACAGGTCATCACAGGACTGTGAGTAGTCAAGCACTTTCTTCCCCCAAGGATTTTTAAGGGAGAACTGGGGGAAAGCGCGAGAGGCCACTCTCAGTTGTTCTGGAACTTGCTATCATAACACAATAAGGCTCACTTCCCACCTTATTCTTCTCTCTTTTTCCTTGAGCAGATCTCAGGAGATCTTAATTTCTTTCTCCAGTTCCTCCTACCCAGTATTGCTGGTCCCCTTCTTTCTTTTGCTTTCCGGTCTTCTGTGTTGACTTGTCATTCATCCATGTCATCCATCAGAAAAGTTACCGAGCTGTAACAAATACCTCTCAAACATGGGCTCTTAAGGCCCCCTGTCTAGAAACTGGAAATCTTGAATCCTTTTTGTCTTTTGTGGTGACCCTTGCTGTCTGGAGCTCAGGGATGGCTTTTCTCGTAGACATTTCTCTGATACTGACCATGATGCCAAGACTTTAGGAGGAAAGAACTGCTGTAGGAATCACTCTCCTTCAAAAAGAATGTATAATTGATGACTGAAGTTTGTTCCATCACATTTTGTTAAATTAATTGTCAACTAAAGCTGTAGCCCTGTGCTAGACTTTAAGATATCACAGAAGGAAAACTTGATTGCTGACTTTCAGGGTGTGTGTTTCTTTGGCATTGGGAACTGAGACATATTAATATTTGGGACAATAAGTAGCAAAGAGAGTTGACTACAGGCTTGTGTGCCGCAGGCAGTTAAAGGAAAAGAGTGGTGTGGAGGGCAGACCACCCTTTGTCACCGATGAGCCCGCTGGGGTCGCACCGTGCAGTGGGCAGTTTCAGGTTCTGTGTGCTCTGGAAGGAGCTTAGGCATGAGCCTCTTCTGTGTCTTCATTTGAGGATAAGAACAACCTCCTGGCTGGTGCCGTGGCTCACACCTGTAACCCCAGCACTGTGGGAGGCCAAGGTGGAAGATTGCTTGAGCCCTGGAGTTTGAGACCAGCTTGGGCAACACAGTGAGGCCCCATCTTTACTGAAAAACCAAAACAATTATCCTGGTGTGACGGTGTGTACCTGTAGTCTCAGCTGCTCAGGAGGCTGAGGCAGGAGGATTGCTTGAACCCGAGAAGCAGAGGTTGCAGTGAGCTGTGATTGCATCACTGCACTTCAGCCTGGGGAACAGAGTGAGACCCTGTCTCAAAAAAACAAAACAAAACAAAAAAAAAAACAAGAACAAAAACAAGAAAATTCTCCTCCTAGGGTATTCTTGAAGGTCAGGTAAGGTGGAGGCTGGCCACCTTCCGGCACGGTGCCTGCTATGGATAGGGGCTCCATGGTGGTTGCTGCTGCTGGGATAATGTGTTCATTCACCTGACTGTTTCTGGGGCCTGGCCTGCCCTGGGCCCTCCATGTGGGGTGGGTGTGCCTGGACAGGGGTGCTGCAGGAGAGCAGCCTGGAGAGCAAATGCGTGAGCACGGTCATGATGTTATGGTGTACAGACCACCTTGTGGGACCCTCGAGAAGCTTGGGCCTGCTGTTGTTCAGGGGAGTTGGGGAGGCCTGGTGTGTGGGGTCTGCAGAGCTGGGGTGCGGGCCAACGAGTGTCAACGGCAGGTGTGTGTGTGGTGGGGCGTGGCCTGGAATGTGGCTGACTGGAGGGGTCTCGAGCAGCATGGGGTGCCTGGTGGTGGGTGGTGCATGGCCGGGGAGTGCGGGGCGGGGGGCGGTGGCTGACAGCTGCTGAAAGCATCATTGCACTCCTGTCCTGTCCCAACAGTGCACGCAGGTCACGGGTTCAGTTACAAGGGCATCCGGGTTTATGTCTAATGGGAGAAGCTGGGGCAGGAAGGCCGCCTGCTTGGAAGGCAGTTCCCTGCCATCTCATCCTTGCCACAGGACCAGATCTAGGCCACCAGACCCCAGACCAAGTCGGATCTGCTAATGGTACATGACATCCTTGGTGGCCGAAGCTGTAGGATAATAATAACTATCAGCAGATGTTGGCCATCGTTCACTGTGCTCTTACCATGTGCCTGACACAAGAAATTTATTGTACTATTTGGATTCATCCTCACAAGATTCTCATGTGGTATCAGTATTATTACTTCCCACATTACAGATGAGGAAATGGGCTTGGAAACCCCAGGTCAGGGGCTGAAAGTCACCCAAGTAGTTGGTGGAAGAACTTTGGTTCTAACCCAGGTCCTTGTGCCGGAGCCTTACGCTCCAGTGCCTTACGCTCCAGTGCCTTGGGGGAGTGGCGAGGCCACTTCCCTCCTTTGGCTTTTATTGAGTTCCTGCTGTATACACACCAAGCTGCTGGAGTTTCTCCTCTTGCAGAGCTTAGGTGTGAGTTGAGGTTTGAGATTAGTTTGCAAGAACCAGCTAGGGTGTGGCAGCCTGTGAGTATCACGTGAATTAGGCAGAGGTATGATGTGGGCGGAGGGTGCTGGTGGAATGGGGGTGGCGGTGGGCACAGGTGTGTCCTCGGCCAAGGCATGGTGGGCCAGCCTAGTGGGCCACAGTGCGCCCTAGGCCCTCTAGGGCTCCATGCATACATCACCCTGAGGCCCATGGAGGAAGCAGGGTGAGGACAGGGTTCTGGAATCCACAGAGGACTTGTCTCAAAATCATGCTCCCGTCTTTTAACAAACTCATTCTCTCTAATTAATAAATTACACTAGGGCAGAGTGATAGCTCCTGTAGCATTTTAATTTTCAAAATCCTTGTTTTTCTTGTCAGTTTTAAGTACTTATTATAGACAAGATGCTATCACCCGACATACCAGGACACGTTTGCATAATAAATGAAGTCTCGGTGGCCACAGCTTGTGGGATTTTGGAAAGATGTTGAGCATCGCAAGTGTGATGCCGATGAAAGCCTGGACGTCGGTCACTGACCATGGCCTTTGGGGCCTCCCCAGCCAGCCCTGCATGCAGATACCTGGGGCAGAAACAGGTAGAAAGAGCTGAGGCCACATTGGTCCCCGCTTGCTACCCTAAAGAGGAGGCTAGCAAAGGGAACAAGTGATGGGATTTCTCACCTGGGATCTGTCCTTGGGATTGGAAAGTTTGGTGTCGATGGGTTGACATAATATCTTTCCAGCAACCTGTCAGCAACTCCAGGTGCACTAGACCATGTGGTCCATGGAGCCCGGCAGACTTGCAGCTCTCAGTTCCAGCTGGCCAGGAGCTGAGTTTTCCTTGATTGTAGTGTGCTTGTTGGGTGGGGCGGCCTAGGGAATGGGCAGCTCTATCCACAGTCCAGGACACATGATCCCTACTGTGGTTCCTAAGGTTCTGTAAACTGGTCATGTGAACCGTCCACCTCATGATGGCTGCTAGTGAGCCTTCAGCAAAAATCAGTCCATTCCTCGGATGTGAAGATGCAGAATGTTAATAAAAGGTGCACTTACTGTACTACTGTCTGGTAGGGTCAGTAGAAGCCATCTGCTGACCATTATTGTCCCATGTCCTTCTGAACCCTGGCAGTTTTCATGGAGGTGTGTCTTTTTTGTTGTCTTTTCCAAGTTCACCCAAACTTAGGAGGAACTGTTCTGTTCTTTGCCATTTGTACCTTGAAATATTTTATGTACTCTGGTGCCCTTTTACAGAATTGTTTTTTCAGAATCCTAGGGTACTTATATTTTACTTCTGCTTCTTCCTGTGTTTTTTGGCTGGTTGATTATTCATGGAACCCTTTGATTTGCCAGGATGTATTGAGCACCCATTGTGTGCAAAATACTGCTGGACACCAGGAAGGCAAAGGTGATAAGCCATATTGTCTTGGGCAGTGGGATCTGAGGGTAAATATTTTGAGCCGCTGACTCAAGACGGGTGGATGCGTGATTCTTCCTCTGTGATCTCTGTCCTTTCATCTGTAAAGAGAAAGCTCTGAATCTGTAATTGTGGAGATAGTTTCCAGCTCTGGGCCTGTGTTTCTGTGCTCTACTGAGATTGCAACTTGAGGAATTTGTGGCAGATCCATTTCTTCAGTCCATGTTCCTCATCTGTCCTGGCTCATCAGTCCGTCCCCGCCTTTGACTCTCGCTGCCTATCATGAGCCACACTGGCCTGTTGTCCCCAGATGTGCCACACCGGTCCTCGCGAGGGCCTCTGCGCTAGGTCTGCCTCTTCTTGCAGCTTTGACATCTTCGCTTATGTGCTGTCCAGCTTCTCAGAGAGACGTCTTCTGACCAAGAAATTGGATTGTCCCCGTTGTCACTGTGACCCCTTAAACCACAGTGTTTTTGTTTTCTTTATCATCTGAAAGCTCATTTGTTTGTTGACTGTCTCCCAAAGTGGCACAAATATGGATTGAGTACCTGTTGGGCACCAGGCACTATTTCATGTACTGGGAAATGGCAGTAAAACAAAAGGTCACTTACATTCCAGGGTCCAGTGGATGAAACCAACAATAAATAGCAACAAGATCAACAAAATTCTCTCTCTCTCTCTCTCTCTCTCTCTCTCACGCACACACATACACACACACACACACACACACAGAAACACACATGTCAGGTAGTGATAAGAATTATAAAGAAAACTAAATCAGGTGAGAGGAAAGAGGGTGACTAATGGACTATTTTAAACAAGATGTGGTCACTTTGGAGGAGGGGACATTTTGGCAGAAGCTTGAATGAAGTGAGTGAGCCCCACCTGCAGATACCTGGGGGATGAACTCTCTCACCAGAGGCAGCACAATTTCACATGGAGGTCGTTAGTCCATTGGTAATTCATGTGATGGATATTGCGAGGCAGGAATTGATTGTAGTTTTCTGTATTGACGCGAAGTTTCCTTGGTGGAATGGTCTGCCCCTTCCCAGCCTCTGTTGTTTGCTGTGGCCTCTCGTTTCCAGGCCCTGTTCGTTTCCGCTGGTCTGGGCGTCCTAGGTGAAAAGCACACGGTCTTTCTTATTGTCACTTGACAGTTACTCTTGCTTTCTAGTGTTGCGGGCTTTCCTTGGCCTTCTTCAAGACCATGCTGCCCTTCTTGGCCCTTTATTCTGGAATCCGTTCTCACGTTCCAGGAGAAATCTCTTCTATGAGATTTTGATTAGAATGGCTTTGAATTTACAGATTAATTTGAGAACAACTGACCCCTTTATGCTAGGGGTCTTCTTACTTGTAAACATGGTCCATTTTTCCATATGTTTATGAGATTGACTTTAATACCTGTTCGTATAATTTTGTAATTGTTTTCTTGAAGGCAGCCTTTGTAGCATCTTACAATGTTATTTTGTCATGATAATTGAAGGCAATCATCAATTTTTTTGTTTTTTGTTTTACAGCTAAGGATAAATCTGAGAAAATATTTGCACTAGCATTTGTCAAGCTGATGAGATATGATGGTACCACCCTGCGAGACGGAGAGCATGATCTTATCGTCTATAAGGTATCTGGTTGCATTGGTGCAGTATTGCTGCTATAGACAGTTTCAGTCTTTTCTGGGCTTCCTGACCCGAACCAACATTTCCCATCATTGTGAGGAAGCTGCTATCTAGCTACATTTAATTATGTCAATGAACATTTCCGATGACCAGCCCTTTTGTTGTTCCTAACAGGAAAAGATGATATACAATATAACAATAGGTGCCATATAAAAATGCTATGAACATGAATTATGCTGCAGGAATAAGGGAAATTGTTAAAATATGTATTTAATATGATAAAAAGCAATTATGATGGTTACAAGGATTAGGGGTAACAAAGGATGGCAAAAAATGGTGTGTTGCTGTTTGGGAATTGCCTTTGACATATGGCATGACTAAACCCACAGGCCGAAGCCAAGAAGCTGGAAGACGCAGCCACGTACTTGAGTCTGCCCTCCACGAAGGCCGAGTTGGAAGAAAAGGGCCACTCGGCCACGGGCAAGAGTATGCAGAGCCTTGGGAGCTGCACCATTAGCAAGGACTCCTTCCAGATCTCCACGCTCGTGTGCTCCACCAAACTGACCCAGAACGGTGCGTTCGAGAGGAGAAACCCATTCACCCCAGGAGCTCTGCCTCAGTCCCGTCTTTTCCACGCTCCTTCCTGTGTGGAGGTGTCCTCTGTAGGCGTATGAACGTCACCCGTAAGGCATTCATTGCATTGGGCTGTGATGATCTGTCAATGCATAGAAGGTGGCATTCGTTGTAATTTAAAATTCACGCTTCTACTCTGGTCTAAGGGTTATTCTTTTTTTTTTTCCCCCAGACAAGGTCTCATTCTCGCTCTGTTGCCCAGGCTGGAGTGCAGTGATGTGATCTCAGCTCACTCCAGCCTTGTCCTCCTGGGCTCAGGCCATCCTCCCACCTCAGCTTTCCATGTAGCTGGGACCACAGGTGGTGTGCAGCATGATGCTTGGCGGCTAATTTTATTTTTAATTTTTATAGAGATGAGGTCTCACTTTATTGCCCAGGCTATTCCCAAACTCCTGGGCTCAAGCAGACCTCCGGCCTCGGTCTCCCAAAGTGCTAGGATTACAGACATGAGCCACTGTGCCCAGCTGTGTTATTCTTAAAGGGAGATAAAGCAATGGATTTACTTCTTAAAATGATTTTTGGCCAAAGGAAGGTAGCGTGGCATAAAGGAAAGTGCACGAGATTTGGAGTCAGACCAAAGACCTGGAATTGGACTGTAGCCCTGTGTTAACCCTGGGGATGCCCTTGAACAAGGGTCTTCTGCACGTTTCGGAGTCTTATCTTCCTTGTCTGTTGATACGGGAATAGTGCCTGCCTCAAAGGGCTTAGTGAGGGTTACGTGAACAGTGGGCTGGGAGCTCACCTCCCTCTTTATGTCGTCCCCATTCTCAGCTACTCTCTGAGATAATTACCAGTTATCTTTATTTTTAAAAGCTGGTTTGGATGATACTTTCTAGCCCTCCTCGTGGTGTGGGATAAGGCACCCCCTGCTGACTCCCACACCCCAAAGCTCAGCCCTAGTGTGGTAGATCACTCATCCATCAGCTGGTGCCATGCCCTTGTGTGGCAGTTGGCCGACTGCTTTGAGTGCCTGCACCACCACTGCTTTGAGTGCCTGCACCACCACTGCTTGCAGCCTCTCCAGTGACGTTGCTGTCCAGCCAGGGGTACTTCTTATTCAGAGCACACTGATGTTGTTGCTGTCACTCTGTCTGGAAGAGGCAGAAATCCTACATTTAAAAATTGCATCTTCCAAATGCAGCCGTATCACAGCTGTGCAGAGTGACTTTATGCTCTCTCAAATCAGAGCTTGAAAACCCAATTTTTTCCTCTTAACTGCTCGATATGGATTTTGATTAGTAATGTCTGTTGCTATCAGGAATTGTGTCTCTGGGGGATTGTCCGTAAATCATGGCAGTAGTTTTGGATTTGTCCAAGGGACAGTCATCGTTTGGACTTTAATAGGGTAAATACAGGACAAAAGTAAAGCCATCGTCTGGAAGTCAGGACATTGTAGTGGAGCATGCAGCATGCACTGAGTGTGCTGTGTGTTTGGATGTGCCAGCCCTGAGTCAAATGCTTTTAGATCTTGCCGTTTCTGCACTTTGCACTCTGTTGTTCTGGGCTACACTTTCCCACTGCTGGTCTGCTGAGTAAATTTCTTGGTGTGGGAGCAATAAGTCTCTTAAGTGCCTTAAGCCTGTTGGGATACTTTTGTATTCCATTTGCATACATGTCTCAAACCATTTATGAAGTGTCCTAGCTTGTGGTTGTGTAGTGGTCTCCATAAGCAAATGAAAAGCCTTAGCTGGGGGTGGGATTCCTGTTCATGCTGCTGATAAAGACATACCTGAGATTGGGCAGTTTACAAAAGAGAGAGGTTTAATGGACTCACAGTTCCATGTGACAGGGGATGCCTCACAATTGTGGTGGAAGGCAAGGAGGAGCAAGTCACCTCTTACATGGATGGCCTCAGGCAAAGAGAGAGAGAGAGCTTGTGCAGGGGAACTCCTCTTTTTAAAACCATCAGATCTCGTGAGTCTTACTCACTGTCACGAGAACAGCACAGGAAAGACCTGCCCTCATGATTCAATTACCTCCCACCAGGTCCCTCCCACAACACGTGGCAATTCAAGATGAGATTTGGGTGGGGACACAGCCAAACCATATCAAGTGGTCAGCAGTGCGGGGCTCAACCTGGGACTTGGTTATGGAAAGGATGCCCCCCTGTGACATGTTAGTCTCTGGATGTGGCCTTGATAGCTCCACTTGCCTGACAGATGACAGCATCCAGAGCCTCATTTAACCCCAAAGTGACATCTCCAGGTGGGGCACACTTCAGCATTTCAGTAGGTGCCATGTGTTGCGGTGCTCATGGTGCAGGAAGCCGTCATCTCATACTTGGGTCATGTTCCAAAAGCATGCTTGGAAGTCATTACTTGGAACTTGATCATCTTTCCCCATTCAAAGCAATGCTCTGAGCTGCGGTTAGGTGATGAGGCCCATCCACAGAATGCTTCTTAACCCTCATGACCCTGGAGAAGGGACTGTGGACCAGGACATCCCACCCCCGGGGGGTGGGGTCAGTGGCGATCCCTCCTTTCCCCTTCAAGCTCCTTGAGTCTCACCAGCTGCAGAGTAATCCCCTCCCCAGACTGAGGGAGAGGGCACCCTGCTCTCAGCAGCAGCTGTTGCCAGGCAACAAGGAAATTCCGACGTGGTGCCGCTCACCGGGACTGACGGGAAATCTGCCTTTCATTTCACACCAGCCACGGTTCCCCTTCTCAGGATTGTGGCATGTCAGGTGTGTACAAGATGGAGCTGCCCCAAATGGCATCTAAGCATCGACTCCCACATTCTCATTTGAGGGAATCGTTTTTCTGAAACCGTGATTTGTTCCTGTGAAGTTCCATTACTTAGGGAAACGCAGTGGCTGAATTATTCATTGAGGTTTGTGTTAAACTTCTCTGTCCTCAGCATTATGCTAGATGCTGTGGGGGATATGAAAGAAGTATAAGACGTGATTCCTCTTCTCAGTTAACTGACTATATAATTAGAAAGGAGTCATGAATATGGGCCGTGAGTCCCAGTAATAAGGGGCTGGGGTGGGCATCTGCCGTGGGCAGCTTCATGGGGTCTGGACAAGCCCTGTTCTCTTCCAACACTCCCTTTGCCCCAAGGTGTTTTACTACTCATTAGCCCAATTGGACTTTGTCTCAAACTTACCGCACAGCGTGCCACCGACTTTGAATGAAGGGGATCCACATTATTAGTGTCTATTAAGGAAATACTGGTAATTCTTGTGAGATGGAAATCTCCCTTAACCCTAGGACCAAGAATGTGTCTGGGCAGGATGGAGCCTTTTCCTCCATGACTTCCCTTTCGCTTAGAAATGAAGACATGTTGGCCAGGTGCAGTGGCTCACACCTGCAATCCCAGCACTTTGGGAGGCTGAGGCGTGAGGCTCACATAAGCCCAGGAGGTTAAGACCAGCCTGGGCAACATGGCGAGTCCCTATCTCTACTAAAAATTAGCTGTGCATGGTGGCATGCACCTGTAGTCCCAGCAACTTGGAAGGCTGTGGTGGGAGGATCGCTTGAGCCTGGGAGTTAGAGGCTGCATTGAGCCGTTGTTGTGCTCCTACATTCCAGCCTGGATGACGGAGTGAGACCCTGTCTCCCAAAAAAAAAAAAAAAAAAAAAGGTAAATTGCTCAATTCCTCATCATCTCCTGGGATGACTGCTGCCATTTGTGCTTTTAGACTAGGCATTCTGCTAGGTGCTTTCTACACATCATGTCAGTTAATTCTTACAGCCACCTTGTGAATCGGGCAGCATCATGCCCATGGTTCAGGTGAGAATATTGAGGTGAAGTTACTTGCCAAGGCCAAGCAACAAGTGGTTGCTGAGTGCTGGTGTTTAAGCTCACACTTGGGTGTCTTCCACAGGACCTTTGGGTGCTCCTTTTCTGTCTCCCCATTTTTAACTCTTCCCTTTGTCAGCTGTACTTGGGGATAGGGTGAAATAAATGAAAATGTATGTTTTGGAGCTTATTGTGTGCATGCCTTTTGTACAATTTGATGCTGAAATTATAATGGATGTCTGTATTTCCTAATTTTCTACCTATAGTCATAATTAGAGGTTTTTTTTTTTTTTTTCCTTCTTCAGTATTAACTCGGGTTTTGTATTTTGATTCTTTCTTTTATGCAGACAGTTTCTGTTTCTGTAGCTGAAGTTGGTTCTCAAGCATAACGGTAAATTAGATGTACTTTGTTAATGGTATTTTTTCAAGTAATGGGATGTTAATATAACTTCAGGTGAAATTTGGGTAGGCGTATGTACTTTCCTAGGGAGCTTTTGGATCCTGTCTTCTTACCTTAAATGATATCTTGGCCAGGCATGGTGGCTAACACCTGTAGTCCCAGCACTTTGGGAGGCTGAGGTGGGTGGATCACCTGAGATCAGGAGTTTGAGAACAGCCTGGCCAACATGGTGAAACCCTGTCTCTACTAAAACTACAAAAAAAATTAGCTGGGTTTGGTGGCAGGTGCCTGTAATCCTAGCTACTCGGGAGGCTGAGGCAGGAGAATCTCTTGAACCCAGGAGGTGGAGGTTGCAGTGAGCCGAGATCGCGCCATTGCACTCCAATCTGGGCAGCAAGAGCGAAACTCTGTCTCAAAAAAAAGAAAAAGAATATCTTGATCCCTTAAACAAAAACATTTCTGGACACTGTCTTCTTCCACATTGAGTCTTTAAAAACCAGTATATTCATTCCTTGCTCTTTCTATAAAAAATGCAACAAACAAAACAACCATAAGAACCACAAACTTCAATGGAAGCCCAGACATGGTGAGGGCCGGAAGCTCGCTCAATGCAGGCATGAACCGCAGTGCAGGCGTGGTCTCAGTTGTCCAGAGCTACTGTAGCTGCGGGGACTCTTAACCTTGCAGTCTCAGTACTTTAATTTGTGTTAGTTATTTTATTTATATCATCTATAAAAAAATAGCGGCTTGTTCTTGAGCAGGAAAAACAAATCATTTGGTATCCAGTGCCTGGGCAGCGCTTTCTGGGTGAGCAGGCCTCTTCAGGTGTTGTGGTGCTCTGAAACTGCCTTCTTGTAGAATGGAAAGACAAGTTCTTTTTTAGTTTCCCAAATGTATTTTTAAAGCTGCTACATGGAAATCATTTCATGGTAAATGTCGTTGGGAATAATGAATTCGACCGTACTAGGTGTTAAGTATGTTGCTACAAAGGAATGGAATATTTAGCAGGTGAATCTTTTAAAATAGGGTTGATTTCTCTGTTCACAAAATTTTATAGAGAACCTCACTTAATGCATGATTAACGGAGACAGAACAGAGTTCTTGCTGTGAAGAGCTGATTGTCATTTCTGTTTCCAGTGGACCTTCTGGGGCTCTTGAAGTGGCGCTCCAACACCAGCCTGCTGCAGCAGAACTTGAGGCAGCTGATGAAGGTCGATGGTGGTGAAGTAGTGAAGGTAACGTGGAGCCCAAAGGGACTTTTTGGGTCTTTTTTTGTAAATGTGTATTAACAGAGGCCGGGCGCAGTGGCTCACGCCTATAATCCCAGCACTTTGGGAGGTTGAAGTGGGCGGATCACGAGGTCAGGAGATAGAGACCATCCTGGCTAACACGGTGAAACCCCGTCTCTACTAAAAATACAAAAAAATTAGTTGGGCATGGTGGCGGGCGCCTGTAGTCCCAGCTACTCCAGAGCCTGAGGTTGGGGAATGGCGTGAACCCGGGAGGCGGAGCTTGCAGTGAGCAGAGATGGTGCCACTGCACTCCAGCCTGGGCGACAGAGCCGGACTCCAAAAAAAAAAAAAAAAAAGTATATTAACAGAAGTAGGCAGTGACTCCAAAGGTAGTATAGGATTGTGGTTATACTCCCCTTTAAAAAATAGTGACATATGGGCCAGGAGCGGTGGCTCACGTCTGTAATCTTAGCACTTTGGGAGGCCGAGGCGGGCGGATCCCCTGAGGTCAGGAGTTCGAGACCAGCCTGACCAACATGGAGAAACCCTGTCTCTACTAAAAATACAAAATTAGCCGGGTGTGGTGGCACATGCCTGTAATCCCAGCTACTCGGGAGGCTGAGGCAGGAGAATCGCTTGAACCCGGGAGGCGGAGGTTGCAGTGAGTGAGCCGAGATCGCACCATGGCACTCCAGCCTGGGCAACAAGAGCAAAACTCCATCTCAAAAAAATAAAACAAAATAATAGTGACATACACCTCTAGGTGCACAGAGTTTTTCTTGGCTTCTGGTTTTGGGGGGACTGTCTGGGTTAGCCGTGAAGGAGACTAGCTTTGCAATCACCCTCATCGTGGGTTCCATGTCCTCTTCCCACAGGTCCTCGCTGCAGGACTCACAACAGTTCAGTGGCCTTTTTAGGCCTCTCTTTCCCCTGCCATGAGAAGGCGGTAAGAGTAGTGCCTTCTGCAGGGTCACTGTGGAGCCTCAGGTCTTTTTACTGTTGTCATGATCCTTGTTACTGCCAGCAACATTCGTACTGGCCCTGGCTTGTGACTCCCTGAGATCCTCTCTAAGTGACCAGGATTGGTCTGTGGTGTGGTAGAAAGATCACGACACAGAGAGACTTGTCTGGGCTGTTTTCCTCCCGTGGGTGGCTCTGCAGCAGCGTCGGGTGTAATTATTTATTCGGGCCCTGTGGCCTCAGTATCTTTATCTATGAGATAGGACAGTCATGTTACATGGCCTGAGGTCCCTGGGAGCCCTCGGCTTCTGGCATTCTTTATTCTGTAATTGTTTGTGGTTCTGATATTTTCGGCAGCATTAGGCTCTTCTCTGCTCTCAGATACGCCACAATTTGCTGGGACAGCTTTTCGTTGTACGTGAGGAAGCGAATTTCCATTTTTAGTCGGTTCTGTTTTTGACCATGGGATGATAAACAGGTCACTGGCATGTGGCGTTCTGTAAGCATAGACTTTCCAGCCAGGTCTGTCTGTTGCTGCCTCAGTTCCTCACCCTCTAGGAGAGGTGATTACAGAAAGAAACGACCTTATCTCTGCAAAAATTAATTACTTAAAATGGCCTTAATTAACCAGCAATGTGCTTCACTTCAGTATCAATTAATTTGGTCGCACCGGCTTCCTGAATCATTGTATAGCCCTTCAGACATGTCCTCGCTAATCTTAAAATTTTAATCATCTTCTCAGTCCTGGTCTTCTTCCAATGGCTTGGACAATGTTAATTGCATTTTAAACTTCCCTGCGTTCTGTAAATTCCCTAATTCAGATGGAAACTAGGTGAATACGTGAATGTAGTTGAGAAGAACCCAGTTAATGAAATTTTGTCGTCTTTCATTTTGAAGTCCCTGTATCTCATTAGGAATGAGTTGTATTTCTGATGACCGGTTGCCACAGTTACCTGGAAGAATGTAGGATGATCTTGTCCCATCATTCTCCCCATTTCCTTCATCTCATAGATTCTCACATTTGATTATTCATCCCTGGACATGGCCTTTATACCTTTCCCTTCTTCCCACGCATGCTGGTACCATGCAAGCCTGGGTGACCTGTCCAGCCCTTACCTACCTTGCCTAACTTTGTGCTTTGTCTCTGCTGGCATGTCTGACATGCACCGTGAACCTGGAGAATGGAATTGACTTGAGGCCATGGGGCTGTTAATGGCCAGCCGGGACTTGAGGAATTCCCGCCTGCATGGGGCTCCTTTTGCACTGTTTAAGGATGCTGATAGATTGTGGGTTTGGTTCTGTTTATTCAAGACCTCCCTTCTGCATATTGATGACTGATAGGAGAGAGATGGCATTGCTTGACAGATTGAGGAAGGTGTTTAGCAAAAGATACGCTGTCCCATTAGATGGAAAATGGAAATGGTGACTTTGGTCCCTTTGAACATGCTCTTAGAGAGAGGGTGGGGTGCCAAATGAAGCCCTTTCATGGCTCTGTGTGAAGGCCCTCCTTCAGGTGCTCGCCCCTGCCCCACTGCAGCTCCGCACCCCAATACGTGCAGCTCCATCTCCCTTTGGTTCTGTTTCTGTGCCACTGACCATGTCATGTGTCTGGGTGGGACCAGGTGGTCTACTTCAGGGACTTTGCATGAACTGTGACAAGCCAGGTCCTGTCACCTGGGAGCCTGTTGGCAGGGGAACATTCGGCTGTTAGCAGATGGCATCAAGTTTTGACCTTCGCAAAGAATTTACGTTCTGAAAATGATGGGAAATAGTACAAAAGTAACAAAGTGATGCAGATCCAAATAGTGAGGAGTTGATTAAGCCCTTGATATCCAGACCAGTATGCCTTTTGGTCAGGGTGGTTTTGTTTGCCACTGTTTGCATGTGACATTTCCTGGTATAAAGTAAGTGGTGGCTGGCACAGCCAAGCATGGAGAGGATTTTACTCCTTCAAGGGTCTCCGATCTCATGTTGGGCATGCCGGGCGTCCTCTCTCCCGAAGGAGGCGGGTGAGGCTCTTGATGCTGCTGCAGTTCCATGGCACTCCTTTGCAAGCAGGAGTCTCTGGTTTGCTTCTTTAGTCTTGGGGCTATAGCAGTTTGAGATCCTCCGTGCCTCCCCGAAGGCCCCCTGGGTGTCGGGAAGAGGCTGCACAGTCCAGGAGGAATCTGAACCAAACACCTGACCCAGCCTTCCCTGTGATGTCCTTGCTGTGTGATCACCTCACCCATTTATTTTTATTTTTCTTTAAATTACAGTTTCATTGAGATATGATTCACATACCATAACATTCATCCTTTTACTCAGAAGTTTTTAGTGTCTTCACGGAGTTGTACGACTATTACCATTGTCTAATTTCAAAACACTTTCATCACCCCAAAAGAAACCACATAGCTATCAGCGGTCACTTCCTCCTCTCCCTGTAACCACTAATCTGCTTCCTGTCTCGATGGATTTACCTGTTCTGAATATTTTATGTAAATTGAATCATACGCCCTGTGGCCTTTTGTGTCTGACTTCTCTCACTTAGCGTTGTGTCTTCAAGGTATATCAGTGCTGTAGCAACTGTCAGTGCTTCACGGCTTTTTTTCTTTTTTTTTTTTTTTTTTTTTGAGACGAAGTTTCGCTGTTGTTGGCCAGGCTGGAGTACAATGGCGCAGTCTCAGGATCTTGGCTCACCACAACCTCCGCCTCTCAGGTTCAAGCGATTCTCCTGGGATTACAGGCATGCACCACCATGCCTGGCTTATTTTGTGTTTTTAGTAGAGATGGGGTTTCTCCATGTTGGTTAGGCTGGTCTCAAACTCCTGACCTCAGGTGATCCGGCCTCCTCGGCCTCCTAAAGTGCTGAGATTATAGGTGTGAGCCACTGCGCCTGGCCTGCTTCATGCCTTTTTATGGCCAATAACATTCCATCACATGGATAGACCACAGATTGTCTTTCCATTCATTAGTTGACACACATTTGTATTGATTCTGCTTTCTTGGAGATGATGAATAATATTTGTGTACAAGTTATTTTGTGAACATATGTTTCCTTTCTTTTGGAGATATGGCTAGGAATGAAACTGTTGACTCGTGGTAAATCTGTGTTTAACTTTTTGAGGAATTGTCAAACTGTTTTTCATAGCAATTGCACAATTGTACATTTCGACCTGCAATGTACAAGGGCTTCAGTTTCTCTGCGTTCTTGCTCACACTTCTTCTTATTCTTCTTTTAAACTGTAGGCCAGATAGTGGGTGTGAAGTGATATCTCATGATGGTTTCCCTTTGTGTATCCCTAATGAGTAATCATGATACATCGGTACTTCATGTTTATGGCCAGTATTTCGTTGTGTGGCGTTCTGCCTCTTCTTGACCTTCTCTTGTAATACAGATCATCACTTTGAACACAGTCATCTTCAGGCCATCTTACATTTCCTGCAGGGGAGGATGGGGTGGGACTTGAAGCTGACTTTTAGTGTGACATGCCTTTGAAGTCTCTTCCTAATTACATGTATGATGCTTTGTCCTTCTTTGCGATAGAATTTATTTGGTAAATTTTAGTCAGCTGTAACTAATTTCGACATTGTTGTTGAATAAAGTAAGCACCTTCTGGTCCCAAAACTGGGATAGTGCTGTGTATTCCAGTTTCAGAATCACGATCCTCTTCCGTACCTGGGCACCCTGGTTGGTAGAAGGTCCTTTCTTCCGCTCAGCTGGGTCCTGTCCCTATGTAGCTTCTGCCCATTCACTAGCCGGAGTCCTGTACCCAGTGTGTAGAATGAGTCAGATGCGTCTTCCCAGAGTTGCCATTCAGCGCTTTGTCACCAGCCTGATGAAAACCAGGAAGAGGGTTGGAAAGGCCGCCTGGGGGAAGCAGTAGGCCCTCTCCTTGCTTTGACCCTCTCCATTTAACTCTGGTGGCATCATTTCTTTGTTCTGAATTCACTCATCCAAAATTTTTGTCTTGTGTATCTAGTGACTGTGAAAGATCCCGAATGGCTTTACAGGTAGTGTTGGGGGCAAGGTGGGTATTTGGAGTACGGCGGAGATGATAGCTATTCCAGTGTGTCGGGGAGTCCGGAGGGTTCACACTCTCAGCTGACCTTCTGTGTCTGTGCAGTTTCTTCAGGACACGTTGGATGCCCTCTTCAACATCATGATGGAGAATTCGGAGAGTGAGACTTTTGACACATTGGTCTTTGATGCTCTGGTAAGAGAGCTTTCCTTCTCATGTGCTTGGATAAGAGCGTTGTTTCATGCTGCAGCCTTTGAGGCTGGGGGTGGGGGCTTCGTCACAGTGACTTTGAACGCATTTTCAGTTGTAAATCCAATCAAAGATGAATTGGGGTGGCCAATTTTTTTTTTTCTTTTCTTTTCTTTTTAATTGTAAAACTGTAGTTAGGCAAATGTCATTTCCAGGGTAAGAAGAGGTAAACTAGCCACCAACTTCTATGTGAAAATGTTCTGGTTCATTTCCTAACACAGGGGTGCAAATGGTTCTGATGAAGATTATAAAATGGCTTACATTATGTTATGCTAATGAAAATATTACTGATTAATTTGACAGGTATTTATCATTGGACTGATTGCTGATAGAAAATTTCAGCATTTTAATCCTGTTTTGGAAACTTACATTAAGAAACACTTTAGTGCAACTTTAGCCTACACGTAAGTTCCTACTTTGTTTTAAAATCAGTACCTCTTTTTTTGGTATTTGTGCTATTTAGAGTCTTTTTCATGTACTTTTGTCTATGACTGTGTATTTACCCCCGCTCAAAACTCTTGAGTTTACTGGGATAATTTTTAGTGTTGTTTTCCTCTTAACATATCTAAAAACCTTGTTGAAAGAGATATGTGATAAATCATCATAATATTCTGGAATAAATTCTTGTTCTCCCACACACCTTACATTTATCTTGGAAATCTTCAGTTTATGTTCGATGAAACTGAGCTATGGATGTGGAGTGTCTGACACTGCGGATTTCCCATGAGCCTTTGATGAATGGATAAATGCATGTGTTCCTGTGTTGAGGAGATTGGTTGTTGAGTGTGAATTAGATGCAGTTTTGTACTTTGCAATGTACCTCCTTGCTCTTTAAAGAGCCCCTTCCCTTTTCTTTGACAAGCTTCAGCTGTCACTGTCTTGGATTCCTTCTGTCCACCCTTCTGCCTGTCTGTGCCCCAGAGGTCTAGGAAGACACCGGAGGCTGCGCGTGGTGCCTGGGCCAGCTTAGCAGCGTGCCTGGTGTTGAAGAGCAGAGCCCTGGGGTCTGGAGTCAGGCTGCCTGGGCTTGATGTGCAGCTCTGTCCCTCTCAAGCTCTGTTGGGCAAGTTGCTTAACCTTGCTGAGCCTCAGCCTTCTTGTCTGTAATCAGAGCATGATTGTGGGCTTGTGTAGAAATTTTAGTAAGTTATTACATGTAGAGTGCTTGGACTAATCCCTGGCACTTAAAAAGCACTAAGCAATTACTGGGTTTCATTATTATTAGATTTATTATGGTGACTTACCGGCTCTTTCGTGGTGGAATTTATTGGCATTTATCAAACTTTTTATCGTGTGAGTTACAGCAAAACATAAAGATTTAAATAGTGTCTTTAAGAACATCCCACTTAGAATCAGTAGAAAGGATTCTCTTTAGTGTGAGTAAATTTAGTTAAAACTCCCTTCTGTGTCATCAACATACTTTGCAGAATACCTGTTTTTCCTCCCTGTGTGCAGTCACGAACTCATGTCAGAGGACTCTGGCCTTCTGAAGCCAGCTGTTAATATACCCCAGTCCTGCGCCTGGATTCTTTGCTGTCTGCCTCGAGACAGACAGGTGGTGGGTGGAACTCCAGGAAGGCTAAGAGCCGTGAGGTCCTCCAGCCTGCGGAACGAGCTGTGACTAGTTCTTTGCACTTGCTTGCTAATAAACGTTTGTTTAAAACATTTTGTTGGCTGAGTGGAGACGCCCGGTGTGTGGGCATGTTGAGTAGTTCCTTACGGACTGTGGGGAGGGTGCATTGCAGGGCACTTTTCCTGGCTCTCGTGACCAAAACGAGCGTGTGGGATTTGCAGAAGTGGCCTGCAGACTGCAGCAAACGTAGCACGCCCTCCAGGTGTGCTCGTTTCCAAAATTCTGCCTCTTGATTGAAATATGGCCAAACAGCTCTTCTCAGATTAGGCTCCTCGCTTGAATTTCAGAAGATGAGAGCCATGAATCAGTTTACCACACTGCAGCCACATCTCTTCATTGGCGCCAGCCTTGCCACGCTATCCTGTTGGGGAAAGAGTGATGCAGCCGTTCTCATAGGTGGAGAAAGAAAAATGGAGATTTTGACGAGTTTCCTAATGAGACAAACAAAAAGTACTATTTTTTCTTTATGCTGTGATGGGCCTGAGATAAGAATAGTATCCTCATGGCCGGGCGGAGTGGCTCACGCCTGTAATCCCGGCACTTTGGAAGGCCGAGGCAGGTGGATCCCATGAGGCCAGGAGTTGGAGACCAGTCTGGCCAACCTGGCGAAACCCCATCTCTACTACAAATGCAAAAATTAGCTGGGCACGGTGGCACGTGCCTGTAGTCCCAGCTACTCGGGAGGCTGAGGCAGGAGAATCGCTTGAACCCAGAAGGCAGAGGTTGCAGTGAGCTGAGATCGCACCATTGCACTCCAGCGTGGGTGACAAATTCAAGACTCCATCTCAAAAAAAAAAAAAAAAAAAGAATCCTCTCATTCAATCTTTGGAATCTGCTGGAAAAGAAACTTTTATTTTGGAAAATAAGTATTGTTAGCATGTTTTGGTAAACTGGCAACCTCAGGTGGTTCCTTAGCAGCCCCATGTCTCCACCTTGAAATTCCCGAGGAGTCAGTGGTGATTCAGACAGCTGTGACCACATCATGGAAGGTCGCCCTGCATTGGTGATATGCTTACAGTATTGTCTGGGCCAGGCCAAATTCCAGTACTGAGTATTATGCCAGATTGTCCTTGTCCTCTTCTCCTCTAGAAGGCTTTGGCAGGTACAGGATTACTGTAGAGTCTTGTCCATGTAGCCTCTCTCCTTTGGTGAATGTTGAGATCTTTAGCCCTTCTTCCCAAAGAACACCAAGAGAAGGCATGAAAGATTTTGGCAGCAGGCAGTCCTCTTCAGCACCCCGAGCTGTGTCTGCGGCTCCCCCGCGTGGGTAGTTCATGGATGCTGGAGCCCCACTGGACTGAGCAGCACTGGTCCGAGTGAGAAGGAAAGGAGGCGTCAGCTTTGGAGGCTGCTCTTCCATAAAACCAGCATGGCTGGGCTCCTTTTTGTCCACCCTACGGAGCTGCTGCAGGCTCCTCACTGACAACTGGTGCTCCATCTGCTCCGCCCCTCTAGCCAGTGCCAAGGGGGTTGCTGTTTGTGCAGATATAAGATGGCCTGGCAGATTTATTTTTATTTATTTTCTTTTTGCTGTCTAATTCCAGGTTAAGATTCATTTGCTGGTTCTAAGTCCTTCTTTTATTTATTTTCTTTCTTTTTGCTGTCTAATTCCAGGTTAAGATACATTTGTTGGTTCTAAGTCCTTCTCTTTGCAAATTATTATTATTTTTATTTCTTTTTTTTAACTGGTTTGAAGAATTTCCAAAATGTGTTCTATGGAATGTTTATTCCCTGGGATACTAATAGATGTAATAAGAGGGGTGTGGTCCAGTAAGTTTGGGAAAATTAGTAAAACTGAGTGAAGCAGGCTTCGTGCCAGGGTGTTGCATGCTCTCCTGTGCAGTGAGCACCACCCGCAGAGTGGTGGCAAGGTGCGTTTTCCAGCTGATGGGGCTGGACACCATGGCAGGAGGATCTGCAGACCTCACCTCTTCAGAACACCAAGCAGGAGTTTGATTCTGAGAGCATCAGGGCTCCCTACTAGAGCTCTGGCACCTGATCAGTGTTAGAAGTGGCTTCACATCCACTCAGTCTCCCAAAAAGCTTTTCAGGCCATGGGTGGTGGCTCACACCTGTAATCCTTGCACTTTGGGAGGCCGAGGTGGGCGGATCATTTAAGGTCAGGAGTTCGATACCAGCCTGGCCAACATGGTGAAACCCCATCCCTACTAAAAAAAAAAAAAATACCAAAAAGTTAGCCTGGTGTGGTGGTAGATGCCTGTAATCCCAGCTGCTGGGAAGGCTGAGGTAGGGGAATCGCTTGAACCTGGGAGGCAGAGGTTGCAGTGAGCCGAGATCGCGGCACTGCACTCCAACCTGGGCAGAGCGAGACTCCGTCTCAAAAAAAAAAAAGCTTTTCATGGTGATGTATTGGTGAAATAGTTACTCTTAGCTCATCCATAATTGCAGTGAAGGTTGCTCTTCTGAGTGTCTCATTCCATAACCTGAGTGAGCAGCCTGGCCTTTACTGGCTCACAACTGAAACAGACATGCTGTCAGTACCCCAGCAGATTGCTTTCATGAATATAAAAGTCTTTCATGTGGCTTTTAAAAAGCCTCAGTGAATCTTGTTGAGTGCATAAGATGTTGGTGACTGGAGACATTTGGTTGGGATATTCTTCCTGGTGTCTTACTGGCTGTTCGCATGGTGTTAGTTTTTGGAGAGTTGTAGTTCAGCTCAATACATTAAAAAATGAAAGTGTGTTGTTGTTAATTTAGTTATTCTTTTATTATGTGTAAGCTGTTGCTTGAGGGTCATCCTTATGAACAAGGATTATTATTTGATGAGCTAGTAATGGTTGAAAGTGTAGAAGTATGAATGGAATTAAAAATGGCATATCCTCACTACAGCCTCTGTCATTTAAAAATAACACATGCTCAACAACAACAACCAAAAACTAAAGAAATCTCACATTACTCAAATGTTATAGTGCAGATGGTAAAAGTTTTCTGTATATAATGCTACACATTGGAGATATCTACTGTGCCAGCATTTATTTCCTGTGTTTATATTAACGTTGCTATTAAGATTATGACTAGTTGTGTATTTTACAAAACAGCATTGTTATTTTTGCTTACTTAAAATTTAAAAACTTTTAAAAATTGTCATAATTTGGGTATAACAAAATGCTCATTTCATTTTGTTTGGACAGTTTTTGTATAACTTTGGAACCACTGCCCAAAACAAGACATAAAACATTGACATTCCCCAGGAACATCCCTCTTGGCCTATCTGAGCCCATCCACTCCCAGACAAGCAGCCACTCTCTGGTTTCTGTTAGCAGTGTGTTTTGCCTGTTCTTAAACTTTACACCAGTGGGGTCATGCGCTCTTTTGGGTCTGGCGTCTTCCCTTCCACTTAATTCTCTTAGGATTCACCCATGTTGCTTTGTGCATCATTAAATATTTGATTTTACTTCTCTATTTCTGAGCAGTATTTTGTTGTATGAATATTTCATGATTTGTTTAGCCATTTTCTTGTTGATGGCTACATGAAGTGTTTCTAGTTTTTGGCTATTCCGGATAAGGCTCCTGTGAATATTCTTGTCCAAGTCTTTGGTGAAGTTTGTTTTTGTTTCCCTTGGATAAGCACCTGGGTGTAGAATTGCCGGGCTAAAGGATACATGTATAGTTTTCTTTGTAAGATATTGCCGGACAGTTCTCCAAAAGGATTGTACTGTTTTGCATTCCCACCAGTAATCTGTGAATATTTGCTCTGTATCCTCATCAACATTTAGTATTGTCTGACTTTGTAGCTATTGTACTGGGGGCAAAATTAGATCTCTTGGTGATTTTATTTTGCAGTTACTGGATGACTGATGATACTGAGTACTTGTTTATTTTTTTGATTTGCCATTTGTGAAATGTCTGTTCAAATCTCTTTTTCATTTTATATTTTGTTGTCTATTATTGATGTGTGTGGTATCTGTGTGTATGTGTTTGTGTGTTTATTCACATAAATATATGTATTTTTTTGTGTCAAACACAATTTTTGAACATTTTCTTCCTGCCTCTGTTTATCCCTTTTCTTAATGGTGTCTTTTGGTGAGCAGAAAGTTTTAATTTTGTTAAAGCCTAAATCATCGTTTAAAAAAACAGGGATTTTCATTTTGTGGCTAAACAATCTTTGCCTAGCCAAAGGCCTTAACAATGCCTGCAGTGTCTAATGTCACAGCACTAGTCTCGTGGCTATTTAAATAAAATTAAACATTTACTTCCACAGTTGTGCCAGGTGTATTTCAAGTGCCCAGTTGCCACATGTGCTGAGCCATGTTGGACAACTCAGAAACAGGTTTCCATCACCGCAGAAAGTTCTGTTGGGCACCACTGTTTCAGAAGCTTTATGCTTTTGACAGAATTCAACATCTGTTTATGATAAAATCTCTTGGCAAAGTAGGAATAGATGGGAAGTTCCTTGATCTGATAAAGCTCAGCTAAGAAAAGTCATAGCTAACCTTATACATAATGCTGGAACATGGAAAGCTTTTCCTGTAAGTTCAGGAACAGACGCGGATGTCTCTTCTTGCCATATCTGTTTATTATTGCACTGGGCTTAGTAAAGCAAGAAGAAATAATTGCAGGTATAACGATTGGAAAGAAAAACTATTTTCACAGTGTGATTTGTATGTAAAAACCCTCCTGAATCTATTTTATAATTTATTTGAAAATAAAACAAACATAAAAGAAAACTTCAATTGTCTATGTACACATAATTGAGAGAGGGAATTAAAAGTACATAGGATTACAGTATGGTACAGTACAGTACAGTTTATGGTATTATCAAAAAGTCATAGGCTGGGTGTGGTGGCTCATGCCTGTAATCCCAGCACTTTGGAAGGGAGGCTGAGGTGGGTGGTTCAGTTGAGTTCAGGAGTTTGAGACCAGCCTGACCAACATGGCGAAACCCCATCTCTACTAAAAATACAAAAATTAGGCAAGCGTGGTGGTGGGCAGCTGTAATCCCAGCTACTCGGGAGGCTGAGGCAAGAGAATCTCTTGACCCTGGGAAGGAGAGGTTGCAGTGAGCCAAGATTGCGCTTCTGCAGAGCCTGAGTGACAGAGTGAAACTCTGTCTCAAAAATAAATAATAAATCAATAAAAATAATGAGGAATAAAGTTACTGATAGATGACTGAAAATTGCAAAATTTGCTAAGAGAAATGTAAAAAGAAGTAAATAATTGGATAATATATACCATGGTCATGTATTGAAAAATAAAATACTGCTTGAATGTTTATTTCAAATTATAGTTTGAACACAGTCTCAATGAAAATTCTATATGCTTTTGTGAAAAAAAATGGACTAGCTAGTTTGAAAATTTATGTTTCAAAAAGTCTGAAATACTGAAATAATATTTTAGAAGATCAAAATTTCAAGATTTAAACATCAGTAACCAAGATAGTATGGTATTGGCATAAGGACAGACAAAAAGATCAGAGGGAGAAAATATAAAATATAGAACAGATTCACAACAGACCTTTGATTTTGTAACTGCTGTTTTCTTTAACAGCATAATGACAAAACTGGCCTTTTTTTTACTGTAGTGATGAGGGAGTTCTCACTTTGTGTATTGAACTGCTGTGCAGTATTTCATTGCAGGGATGTATCACCAATTATTGAACTGGCTCTCAAAGGTTGGGCATTTGCATTGTTTATGTATTTTTACTAGTCAGATCATGCGGCAGTGAACATCATTTGATTCATTTGTTATCGTTTCTGTAGGACAGTTACTAGAGTTGGAATTCCTGGTGTCAAAGGATTTTAATAACCTTAATTATAATGATATTTCCAACAGATATTATAATATGTATTTCCACTTTACCCTCTAAAATGTTTTATGCCTGGCTGGGTGCAGTGGCTCATGCCTGTAATTCCAGCACTTGGGGAGGCTGAGGTGGGTGGATCACAAGGTCAGGAGTTCGAGACCAGCCTGGCCAATGTGGTGAAACCCTGTCTCTACTGAAAATACAAAAATTAGCTGGGCATGGTGGTGCGTGCCTGTAGTCCCAGCTGCTCAGGAGGCTGAGGCAGGAGAATCGCTTGAACCTGGGAGGCGGAGTTTGCAGTGAGCTGAGATCATGCCACTGCACTCCAGCCTGGGCAACAGAGCAAGACTCTGTCTCAACAACAACAAAACATTTTATACCCATTTATCCAACAGCAGTGTTATGATACCCCAAAGTTTGTCTGTACTAGGCAGAAATTTCTATTAATTTTCATGTATTTATTAATGAAGTTGATTAATTTCATACATTTGTAGATTTTTAAAAACCTTCTAACCTTCTCACATTCCCTAAAACTTTGAGTAATCTATTATCATGTGAACTTTCTGGTTATTTGAATTATAGTAAAGTAAAAATAGTTTATTAATACATTTCCCTTCATCTTTAGCAAGGAATTAAAAAAACCTATCTATGAATTACACACTGAAAAAATATATATGTATTTTTTATTATACTTTAAGTTCTAGGGTACATGTGCACAACGTGCAGGTTTGTTACATATGTATACATGTGCCATGTTGGTGTGCTGCATCCATTAACTTGTCATTTACATTAGGGTATATCTCCTAATGCTGTCCCTCTCCCATCCGCCCCCTCACCCCCCCACCCCACGACAGGTCCTGGTGAAAACACTGAAAATATTTATGAAGCCATGAAATAGCATTAAGCTTCTAATATATAGTTTATTTATACCAACTGTCTATAATTGCTTCTGTAGTAGGATGAAAAATTTACAAATAATTTTAATCAATTTTTTTGTATTCTAAAATATGTAAACTTTTTTTTATCATGGAAAAGATTTTAAATGTTTTCATATTAGGATGTTACTTGGTTTTAGATCCCAATTTATAAATAAATAGACTAAGAGTGTAGTAGTCATTATGTTTTTAAAACTAAATGTTTTTGGGAATCTTATTAGGAAATGTAAAAAATATTTTAAACTCTTCATGTGTCCATTGATAGTATTCTTACTGTTCTTATATATTGTTTATACTCTTTTCTATAAGGATTTTTACAATATTTCTTAAAAATTTAAGACTGCTTCCTATTTGAAAAACTTTGTAAAATTTTAATTTTCAGCGTAAGAACTCTAGTTTCAGAAAATCAACTAACATGAATAAAAGTGAGATGCTCTCCAATAACAAATACTATTTCATGCCTTTAAAAAAAATGTTGTAAAATACACATAACATGAAATTCACCTAATCATTTTATTTTATTATTATTTTTTGAGACAAGGTTTCACTGTTGTCGCCCAGGCTGGAGTGCAGTAGCGCAATCTTGGCTCACTGCAACCTCTGCCTCCAGGACTCAAGTGATTCTCTTGCGTCAGCCTCTTGAGTAGCTGGGACTACAGCCATATGCCACCCTACCTGGCTAATTTTTGTAGTTTTTCTAGAGGCGGGGTTTCACTGTGTTGGCCAGGCTGGTCTCAGATTCCTGTGTTGAAGTGATTCTCAGGCCTTGGCCTCCCAAAGTGCTGGGATTCCAGGTGTGAGCAACCGCACCCGGCCCCTACCTAATAGTTTTAAAGTGCAGTGTTGAGAAAATCGTCACCACTATCTATCAGAGAATATTTTTGGTGTCATGCCTTTTTGAAAACATTTTTTGTGTCTCGGTTTGGCTGTAATGAAAATCTCTTCGATTTTATTGTTTGACCTTCGGGAAGCTAGTGTTTTACCTGTCAAAGTCCTGGTTTCCTCATCCATTAAATAAGATAATACCGCCTCATAGTGTGTGCTGTAGAGGCTAAATTAGATAACGCATTTCACCTGCTTAGAACATCTACACTTAGAAAGTGCTTATTAAATGCTCAGCCTTTGCGCTCAGAGAGAGATTTTATCAGGCGCATTTACTGATTAGGAAATGTTTTACAGGCCAGGTGCGGTGGCTCACGCCTATAATCCTAGCACTTTGGGAGGCCAACGGGGGTGGATTGCCTGAGCTCAGGAGTTCGAGACCAGCCTGGGCAAACGGTGATATCCCGTCTCTACTAAAATACAAAAAATTAGCTGGGCGAGGTGGTGTGCGCCTGTAATCCCAGCTACTTGGGAGGCTGAGGCAGGAGAATCGCATGAACCCAGAAGGCAGAGGTTGCAGTGAGCCTAGATTGTGCCATTGCACTGCAACCTGGGTGACAGGGTGAGACTGTCTCAAAAAAAAAAAAAAAAAGAAAAAGAAAAAGGAAACGTTTTACAGATATTCATAAACTGATAGATGGAAACCAAATAAAAGTAACCTACTTGTGTATTTCCTTAGCAGTTAAGATTTGAGATATTGTCCTTTCCTGAGCTTATTTGTGCGTGTTTGCATTGTGAATAGGAAGCTGACAAAAGTGTTGAAGAACTACGTGGACGGTGCTGAGAAGCCGGGAGTAAACGAGCAGCTGTACAAAGCCATGAAAGCGCTGGAGTCCATCTTCAAGTTCATCGTGCGCTCCAGGATCCTGTTCAATCAGTGCGTACCTGTTCCCTGCACGGCCTCTCAGAGGACTGGCAGGAGATCCTTCACTTCTTTCCTTCCCCTTCTCTCGGCCCCTTATTCTTTCCTTTCTTCTTCTCCTCTTTTTCCCTTTGCTTTCTAGGCTGAGAGAGCACTACTCGATAGGGATCCTGGGGTGGGCTGCGCACTCTCTCCTTACCCTCCCGGGTCCCTGCTGGTGCTGAGGCGAGAGAGCCCTGTTCCTCCTCTGAGATGTGTGCCTGTGAGTCCAGCCTTGGCTCCTGAAAGCATTCACGATGGTGCAGGTGCAGTCCTGGGCATCTACCGAGGGCTCAGAAGCCCTTTTCAGAGTATCTTTATGTGGCACAAAGCCCCAAAAGAACAACAACAACAAAACAGGCCGGGCGCGGTGGCTCACGCCTGTAATCCCAGCACTTTGGGAGGCCGCGGTGGGTGGATCACGAGGTCAGAAGATCGAGACCATCCTGGCCAACATGGCGAAACCCCATCTCTACTAAAAAATATAAAAAAGTTAGCCGGGTCTGGTGGCGGGCGCCTGTAGTCCCAGCTACTCGGGAGGCTGAGGCAGGAGACTGGTGTGAACCCGGGAGGCGGAGCTTGCCGTGAGCCAAGATCGCACCACTACACTCCAGCCTGGGCGGCAGAGGGAGACTCTGTTTCAAAAACAAAATAAATAAATGAAAACAAAACAACAATGAAAAGGCAAAACCAAGTGAAATTGCCTCACTTGGACAGACTCTGGGATTTCCTTCTCTTTTCCTCAGTAGAGTGAAGTTTCATTTCGGGAGAAGTCTTCCCACATAGGGTATTTCCATGAGGAAGGATACTCAAGTGCTGTAGCCTAGTGACATTTTTCACACACTGTGCGGTAAAATAAATTGGGGTATTTGTGACTTGATTATTTTATAGAGAGCCTTAATATTGTATAGATACAGATGCAGGTTAAGAGCTGTGCTAAAATGAGAACTTTCTAAGTTGGCCCACGCCTCTTCACTGTATGATTCAAAGGAGGTGAAAAGCAAGCGTACTGAGGGTGTGGTGTGCAATTTCACTCCCTCTGCTTGGTTTTTTGGGGGATGGCTATTTTGTGGGTGACCTGCCATGAGTGATGTCAGTGGATGTTGGTGGTCCTACGTTGTTATTGTTCTTGTTGTGAGTTCCACACACAGATGGGGTTCATTAACCTGTGTCCCTCTGAATTAGCAAATACATTTGCCTTTGAAAAGCGTGGTGCCCTTGTAACCGATTAGCGAAAATCAGCGATTGTAAGTGTGGACCCACATCAGTGCCTTCCCATTTCCTCCTCACTGCGTTTTCGTTTGTCTGAAGCAGTCATGTCCAGAAGGACCCAGGAGAAGGGGAAAGAATTCACAATCTGACCATTTGTCTACCATGTTAGAAATAAGGACAGAGCAACAAGTGATTGACTGTGTGTTGACCTATCGATGTCATAAACAGGGTGGCAACCACCAGTGATGTGAGACTGAAGTGTGTTTGTGTGCACTCTGGGGTGCCCATGGTTAAAACCACAATCCTCGTGCTGCCATTTTTGCATACAAAGATGGCATGTTTGAGGGCATCATGGTTTTATCCTTGACTTAGATATTAAAGATACACCTTTTTATTTTGCTTATTATGGATATGATGACCTTTGGTGTGGATTGAAGCTTTCCCTCAAGGGTCTAAGTTGTCATTTATTTGCTCATTGTCAGGGTGAAACACAGCATGGTAAGCTGGGTTATGTTTTCTTGTATTTTGATTATGTTTCAGTACAGTTAATTCTATTTCAGTAAAGTTAATTCTATGAAAATGAACTTCCTGGCCCCCTCTGCCTTGCTCTTATATTTTCCCCACTGATTTTAAATCTCTGATGACACTAAACCCAAATCAGTACTAGGATGGGAGGATGAACTTGAAAGATGTTACAGATTTTGTTGTGTTTTATTTGAAAAATGTTAATCTTATGCAGTTTGTGATCAATATGACATTGACTCAGGCATTTGATGATCTGCATATTCTCACCAGATAACACTGCTGACTTTCCCTTTCATTCAGAGGTTTGTATTTCAAACGATCGTGCATTGATAATCATGGTGTTGGCCGGGTGCGGTGGCTCAAGCCTGTAATCCCAGCACTTTGGGAGGCCGAGACGGGTGGATCACAAGGTCAGGAGATCGAGATCATCCTGGCTAACACGGTGAAACCCCATCTCTACTAAAAAATACAAAAAACTAGCTGGGTGTGGTGGCGGCGCCTGTAGTCCCAGCTACTCGGGAGGCTGAGGCAGGAGAATGGCGGGAACCCGGGAGGCGGAGCTTGCAGTGAGCGGAGATCAGGCCACTGCACTCCAGCCCGGGCGACAGAGCGAGACTCCGTCTCAAAAAAAAAAAAAAAAAAAAAAATAGATAATCATAGTGTTTCTACTATTGTAGTAAATGCTATAATGCTGCTTTAGAAAAGATTGAGTTACCCAGGTTGACCAGTAGCAAATTATTTCTCTGCCTCTTTCTTTAATCTCCTTCAATTTCAAACTACAAATGGCACAAAATCTTAGATTCATGGTCCGTAATTTTTTTTTCTTTGATGTCTAATAGTGCTTAGGAATATGATTGGCTGCATGTAATAGAAAAACCCCATTTATGTAACTTAACCATATGGGGTTCACTTTTTTTTTAGTCACATAATGTGCAGCCTGGAGGAAGTGTTCCGAGTTCATGCACTTGCATGAGGACTCTGTCCTGATGTCCTTGGCTCCTTTGATCTCTCTGCCCCACCATCCTTAGTGGGGTCTGTTTATCTCCTAATCCTAAGATGGCTCCTGTCCTTCTCAGCATCAACTCTGCGTTCCAGGTGGAGGAGAGGGGAAGGCAAAGGGGAGACAGCTGTGCCAACTATTCTTCGAAAGAGCTTCCCCATCCCTAGAAAGTATGGTGTGCTTTCATCTTATTGGCCAGAACCATGTCACATGACCACCCTACCCGCAGGAAGCTGGAAAGGATTTTTAGATGGGCTGATTGATGCTTTCTACAAAACCAGAGTGATTTTAGTAAAGAAGTTAGGGAGAAATAGATAATGGATGGGCAGTTAACATTCTCTTCCTCATACCTTCAACCCAGAAGGTCTGTTCTCTGCGAGTCCCTAACTCATTCTGGGTTACTAAATCTTACTTAACTAGGCTTTGCAGAGCCCTTCTTCTCCATTAGTTTGGGAGTCAATCTCTGAGACTTCTGTCAATAGTATCTCTTTGGCTTTAAGTTTCTCTTTAGGCCCTAAGTGATCCACTGACATGGTTTAGTCCTACTAGGCTACATAGAAACTGACTGAAGTACTCAGCTGCCCCTTGTGTTTGGGACAGGAAGTGTTCAGTGCTAAAGTCGTCTGAATGCCTGCATTCTGGTGGTCAGCAGCATGGCACAGACCATGATCCCTCTGCCTGCCTTTGTCCTGGTGTGGACCCAGCAGGAGCCTGGCATGGTCCACAAACTGAGTTTCTTTGCTGGGGTAACTTGTTTGTTAGAAGAGTTGAGACTGTCGAGGACACAAAGTGGTCACAAGACAAGTTGTAGCAATTGTTACAACTCAGTGAGGCTCCCTAGGCCTCTGAGGCCATTGTCTGGTCATTCCTGACTTTAGCTGACCAAGTACTGCAGTGATTCTGGAGATCCTGACGATGCTGCTACTGCTCCTGGTCATGATGATGATGATTATTTGAGACAGGACCTCCCTCTGTCACTCAGGGTGGAGTACTGTGATGCAGTCATAGGTCACTGCAGCCTCAAACCCTTGGGCTCAAGCCATCCTCCTGCCTTAGTCTCCCTAGTAACCAGGACTACAGGCAGGTGCCAGCACATCTGGCTAATTTTTTGTAGGACATGGTCTCACTGTGTTGCCCAGGCTGGTCTCAAACTCCTGGCCTGAAGCGATCCTCCTGCTGTGGCCTCCCAGAATGCTGGGATTCCAGGCGTGAGCCCCTGTACCCCACTGATTCTGGGGAGGTTGATACTCATGTTCCTTCTCTCCCTCCCTTTTCTTCCCTTCTTCCCTAGCTGCTTCCTTCTCTCCTTTTTTTGTTCTTTCCTCTCTCCATCCCTCCTTTTTTCTCTTCTTTGTCCCTTCCTTCCTTCCATGAATACTTAATGAGCATTTGAGCCCCAAGTGTATCCCAGACTTTCATAGTTTGACTTTATTATTTTTTCTCTGAACATTTCCTGAATGTGGATCCTGGCTGCCTACCCTGATTCCGGAGGGGAGAGAAGGACACAGCGTTCTTTGAGACGTAGAGCACCTAGCTGCGTTGTGCAGAGACAACAAATACTTAAATTTAAATCTGTATTCTGAAATGGCTGAGAAGATATTTCATAGATTTTATGAGAGGAGAAAACCCATGCCCTTAGAATATTGGATGGTAGGGCAGACGTCTTCTAGTAATCCCTCCCCTTCTGTCCTCCTCACCCCAGCTCCCCATCATCCCACCACAGCATGTCAGTTGTTACTTCATCTGTGCTATCACAGGTCTGAATTGTAGATGAAATCGTTTTCCTAGCTTGTGTAGGCTACTTAAAGGAAAAAGAGCCCCACGTCCCACGCAGATGTCTAGAATGTCTGATCTGTGACAATCTCCAAGCGTGTCTCCTGTGTGGTGCTGTCAGAGGTGGGGAAGAAAACAAACTAGGACTCTCATCTTCTTACCTCCAGCATGTGTATTACCTTGAGAGAAAAACAATTGTGCTCACAGCTGGAATTCATGAATGTGTTTTCCTTTTTGCAGTTGGGATAAACTTTTGAGATCTTATTTTTCTGTTGCTTTCAAAATGGTCTGCTGTGTTTTCCTGTAATTCAGTAGCTTTGTTAAATTCCAGGATAACTGACCGTAATTATTCTTCCAAAGAACAAAGAGGTGAAACTTTGGAGATGAAGATACTGAAGCTTATATTGTTAACTTACTATCTTTCTTGCTATGCAGTCTTATATTTTTTGTTTTGTTTGGAAAGCTCATTTTGTTTTGAAATGAGAACAACAGTTTAAAAGCTATGGCCCAAAGACATTTGATTCCTGGGGAACCCACTGAAAGATTCCTGACAGCCAGGGGCACTTCTCCACTGGTTTTTGTTTGTCTGTGTTTTCTGTGTGGGCGGATCGCATTAACTAGAAAGGCAGAAAACAGATATCCTGCATCAGACCTTCAGAATCAAATTACTAAATCTAGTTATTGCCTGCCTCCTCTTCTGGGTTTCTTGCGCTTCGTAGAGTTTTTGCCTGTCATCTGGTGTTAGCTTTATAAATAATTAGTTATTGATCATGAATAAGTTGTACAGACCTTTTTGCTCTCATTCCCTGGGTCACAAAATAGAATGTAGTTAATAGACAAAGGTCCTGTCATTCCTTGTTAATGAATACTTATTTAAGTAGAGCAAGGAATGAGCAGATCTTATTCATCTGTTTATTGATATGTTTCTGAGTTGTTTTTTCTCAGAAAAAACAAGTGGCTGTCCCTGGTTTATCTGGGAAAACGAAAAGGGAAGATTCTAGAGACTTTCACAGTGATCTTTTGTTACAGAAAGATGCTTCAAAAGGATCACTGCAAAATGCTATGTTCTAAACATGCTGGTTGGTACAAGATAAACGGTTTTACATTTTTATTCATGAGAAGTTCTGCAGAATTTTTAAAATATTAAAGATTCATTAATCATGCTTTATAGATTTTGAAGCTGTGTTATTGGGGGCATACAGATTTAAAATTGTGATGTCTTTCTTGTGGATTTATTCTTTAATCAATATGAAAAGTTTCTCTTAATCTTCTGGCTAGTATTTGCATGGAATACCTATTTCCATTCTTTCATTTTGGTGCTTTCTGTGTCTTTATACTTAAGGTGTGCCTCTTATTAGCAACATATAGTTGTATTTTTCTTTAATCCAGTCTGACATTCTTCTTAATGGAGCATTTCATCCATTGATATGTAGTATAATTAAGTAATATGTTAGATTTATATATATTATTTTTATATTAATTTTCCCTTCCCCATCTGTGTTATGTTCCCCTTTTACTCCTTTTTTGCCTTCTTTTATACCAGTTACACTTTTTTTAATCATCCCATTTTCTGATTTCTTAACATATTATTTGAATATTCTTTTACTATTATTTTTAACAATTATCCTAGAGATGGTAACATGCATGTTGGACTTGTTTTAGAGTATTTCAAATGATTACTGTTACCAATCCACTGATAATGCTAGATATGGCCAGAAAAATAGCACACTAGGATTGCCATTTTCTTCTCTTCTGTTTATATTATTATTGTATTTCAATTCTACATATTTTATATTCCATAAGACATTACTGTTATTTTATACAGTTAGTATTCATTTGATGTGTTTTATGTTTGTAATTGTTTTTCATCCTTCAATTTCACTTTTCCTTTGGGATCATTTTCTTTCTGTAACTCTCTTGTATTATTTCTTTTAGTATTGCCCAGTTATGGGGCTCTGTTTGTATGAAAATGATTTATTTCATCTTTGTGTTTGAAAGATATTTTCACTCACTATAGCATTCTAGATTGGAAGCTATTTTCTTCTTCCATATATTATTCTATTCTGTTTTGATTTTCTTCGTTTATGGTAAGTCATTAGCTTTCAGACTTATGGATACATCTTTGAATTTAAATGGTATTGTTTTCTTTCTTGCTTTTAGTTTGTCTCCTTTTCTATGGTTATTGACAGTCTTACTATGGGTTGCATAGGATTGTTTTTGCTTTTAATTTATCCTGCCTTGCATGTTTGAATTTTTTGATTGATATCTTTGATCAGTTTTGGACGATTGGTGGCCATTGTCTGTTCTAATGTTACTTTTGTCCCATTATCTTCCTCCTTTTCTCTTGGCACTTGAATTACATGTATGTTAGATCTCCTCAATATGCCTGCACATCCCTAGCCTTCTTTTCTGTATTCTCTTCCTTGGTACTTCTGTTTAGTTATTTTCTGTAGATTGTCTTCCATTTTACTAATTCTGTCTCTTGCTGTGTCTACTCTCTATTTTGTTAATCCATATAATAAATTTTTAATTTTAGAGATTATATTTTGTAGTTTTAGAATTTCCATTGATTATTTTTAAATAGATTCATTTCTCTACTAAAAGTTTTCTCTTACCTTCTATTTGTCATATTTTTATCTTATTTTCCCTGTTCTCATATATGATGATTATAGCTGTTTTGATGTTCTAGGAAACCGTAATATCTAGATTATCTGCGGGACTGTTTCTGCTCTCTTTTTCCTCTTTCACTTGGACTGTGGTCTGGTTTTCTGCTAAGATTAATAATTTTTGTTTGAAGTCAAGACCTTTTGTATGTAAAACTGTAGAAACTTCAGATGATGTGATCATCTTCCAGAGATAATTCATCCTGCCTTCTTCTAGACAAAGTGGGGCTGACCATCTTATTTTAATCAGAGACTGCTTAGTTTCAAGGCTACATTGTACCCTTAGTATGCCTCTGTCTCCATTTACTATACCTCTGGCTTTCTAGGATCCTTTCATCTGAGAGTCAGCTCTGTTACCTGGGGACTCTCTCCCTGGCTTTTTCCAAACTCTAGTCATTTTCTCTGATGACTGATACAAATTCCACTTTGCTTTATAGAGGTTTTCATTTTGGTTTTTAGTCTTCTACCCCATACAGTTCTAGGAATTACAGATGTCCTGAGGGGAAAAATGATTGCAGCTTGATGCCTCCGAGGGCTGTACCAGTCTACCAGGTGTTCTCCATGTCACCTGCAAGCAGAAGTTCATGACTCACATCATTTTAATTGTTTGGTACATCTCTTAAGCAAATGCCATTTGAAAACCCTTATTTACAAAACAGATCCACTAGGTTGCAATTTCCCATTTTACACAGAATTTATTGCTTTACAGTGGAATCCATTTAAATATCAGACTACCTCTAGGGTAATTAATTATCACTTAGTTTACAAAACTTTCCATTGTACACAAGTTTTCAGGTATCGTATATTTTTAATTAGGCAGCAAACTAGTATTAATAAACTCTGTATTAATAAAACATCTGAGTCACAGTATTTTAAAATGCAAATGTGTTGCTTTTTAGTAACACAGCAACTTGAAGTAACTGCTAACAAATAATTTACAGATGAGACTTATTTTCAATTAGTAACACATATTAGCATACATGTAACCAATGCACAACTTCCTTACTACCTATTTATTGAATATGTCCCACCTCTTGAATACTTTTCAGTTACCACTGATGTTGAAATGAATACATTTGTATAGCACTGTTACTCTGAAATAAAAAGTAAAGCAACTCTTGTAATATCGTGTTAAAGGATTAGAAGATCCTGGTAAATTGAGTGTGTTGTTGATTTTCAATTTGTGACATAATGGGTTTAGAAACACTGGTAGTGGCTGCCTGGCAGTTCACACCTGTAATCCTAGCACTTTGGGAGGCCGAGGCGAGTGGATCACCTGAGGTCAGGAGTTCAAGACCATCCTGGCCAACATGGTAAAACTTTGTCCCTACTAAAATACAAAAGTTAGCTGGGCATGGTGGCGGGTACCTCTAAGCCCACCTACTTGGGAGGTTGAGGCATGAGAATTGCTTGAACCCAGGAGGCGGAGATTGCAGTGAGCCGAGATTGTGCCATTGCACTCCAGCCTGGGTGACAAGAGTAAGACTCCGTCACAAAAATAAATAAATAAAATAAAAATAAAAACACTGGTAGAAAACTCAACAGCATCTTAATAGTGTAATTTTTGTGGGGTAGAAATAAAGCTGAATTTCCCCATCCTCTTTCCCTCCTTCTCTTCCTTGGCCCTTTCCTTCCTCCCTTTCTATATATTTTCTGTGTTTTTCAGATTTATAAGATGTAGTATGTTACAATGAAAAGGCAGTGAGTGGTAGCATTAAGAGTCAGCCTCTGTATGTGGAGGCATGCCACCTTGACTGAGTGGTCTGCATGAGTCTCGCTGCCAAGTCACCTTCCTTGCTTCATGAATGTTGAGGATGTGGTCTCTCATTCTAACTTGTCACCCAAGGGATTCCCTTCATGGCTATAGACAGGGATTCAAAAAATGTTGAGGTGTTTCTGCCAGGCCCCCACAGTTTGTGTGTTTCTTTGCAGACTGTATGAAAACAAGGGAGAGGCCGACTTTGTGGAATCTTTGCTGCAGCTCTTCAGGTCCATCAATGACATGATGAGCAGCATGTCAGACCAGACCGTCCGGGTGAAGGTGAGTGCCGGCCACCGCCAAGGCAGACTTCTCTTTCTTTTCTTCTTTCATTATCGTTTTTGGAGGTAGGTATTTTGATTACAGTTAATAAACTTGCCCCAAATACTATAGTTGTTAATGTCAGAGATCTCAATTTGATTTTAAGAGCTGTGCTTTTTTTTTTCCCTCTTTCCTTCTTTCTTTCTTTCTTTCTTTCTTTCTTTCTTTCTTTCTTTCTTTCTTTCTTTCTTTCTTTCTCTTTCTTTCTTTCTTTCGTTTCTTCCTTTCTTCCTTTCTTTCCTTTCTTTCTTTCTTTCTTTTCTTTTCTTTTCTTTCTTTCTTTCTTTCTTTCTTTCTTTCTTTCTTTCTTTCTTTCTTTCTTTCTTTCTTTCTCTCTCTCTCTCTC